TCTAGCTTTCTAAAGTCATCGTGTGAATAAAATGAGACAATGCACATAAACCTCTCAACCTAATTTTTGGCACATGGTTAAGAGGGTCTAAAAGGATGGGAGAAGATTGGGAAAAAAAACAAAAGAGGAAACAGGCACCGTGTATAGGTACAAATTCCCTATGATGAATGTGATCATTGTGTACATCTAAAATGTACCAATAAACTTAATAAAATTAAAAATAAATAAATTTTAGCAATTCTTATCATCTTTGGCATCTTAGATCCACTGGAGAAGTGGATAAAACCCAAGGTTTTACCCATCACAGACATACACACACAAGCACACATGGCCAGCATACATACACTCATACACAGATTCCATGCACATGCATGCACACGTGCACACATGCGTGTGCGCACACACACACACACACTATTTGCATCCAATTTCAAAAGGGTCCTACAGCTCTGAAGGCAGTTTGCATACACCTTTAGAACCTGCAAGTTCCTCCCACCCTAAATTTCTCCACAGCCATGAGCACATGCTGCTGACGACGTCTTTGTCTCCTCCCCTCTCTGCCAGGCTCAAGCAGCTCAGGAAACCCTTCCCAGCACTCTGGGCTAAGCTGAGAGGCAGGCTTGGAAAAATCCTCGCTCAAGGAGGGCAGGTCCAGGGCAAGGGCGACAGGACAGATTCCGTGAGCTCATCCCGCCAGCCGTCACCAGAGTTCCCAGAGAGGCCTGTGGCGTCAGGAGGGGGTGACTGGGTGGGGGCCGGCAGCGGTGGCTGCGGCGGCAGCAAGGGGTGTGGGACAAGGAGAGGGAGGCTGTATGGAACACGCTATAATAGCGGCTTTGTGCTCCGCTTCCCAGCTCCCTGGGAACGCCAGGAAGATTATGAAACCCGGTGTCTTTGGGAATGCCAGGATATTAGCTGGAAAAAGAATAATACGAAAATAAAATAATGCTAGGGATGGAGACAGCAGACGATTAGCAGACGGAGCCAGGGCCTCCCGCTCCGTGGAGGGAGCCAGGCTTGGCCCTTGCAGAAGGCTTCAGGGAAAGACTGCCCGTGCTAATGAGCAGACAGGGCCTGTCTTCCAAGGAGACGTCTTCCAGAGGAGAGCTGGCAAGCCAGGCCCAGCCTGCCAGTGGATGCACAGGCCAGGGAAGGGATAGCAAGAGGCAAGGGGGCAGCACAGGCCTAGTCCTAGACCCAGCCATTCAAAACCATCAGGTTACCAAAAAGGCTACCTGGTCCCTACCCTTAGTCCTCCCCTGGCTCCTTCAAGGTAACCTCTTCCAGGAAGCACTCCTTATCAGGCACTGCCACTCTGGAATGACTTATCCTCCTTCCAGCGCTTCAAAGATTCAGACCCTATTGCACTTACTTGCACTCACATGTGAATACCTCTCATCCCAATCACACAAGATCTCCCCACGGGCCAGGCCTCCACCTTTAGATCAGAGGCACATTAGGAGATCACTTCTCTCCTACTAAGGAGAAGTGCAAACAGGTCGACCTACTCTGTCCATGACCCTGGCCACATACCCTACCTCATAAGAGCATCCAAGTGGGGCTAACGTGACCTCATCTTCCTTCATCCTCACGATGTACTACGTACTTCACATCCTTAGTACTTGAAGATGGTCCTTGGACCAGCAACACTGCATTACCTACAGCCTCGTTAGTTGAGACTCTCGGGCTCCACCCAGACATTGACTCAGTCTGCATTTTAACAAGGTCCCCCAAGTGGCTCCTTTGTTCCTGAAGTCTGAGAAGCACGTCTTCACCTGAGTTACTCTTAATCCTTATGATTCTAGGAGGCAGGTACTTCCAAAGTCCCTGAAGGCATGAGAGGGCTGGCTGCAGCTAGAAAGTAGAACTCAAAGTCCTCTCCACACTCAGAAGCCTCTGCATCTACCACACTTGCCCCAGTGCATCAATTGACATTAAGGGCCAGTGAGCAAGGAGTGGCATTCAGGGCAGCAGCTATATCCTGGCACCAAAAAACCTAACCATCTGCCCCAAGATGCAGGGTGGCCTTTAGCTCCAGGCTTTTGTTGGGACAGCAGTATATCCTAGGACAAGGACAATGGGGCTCAGGGAAGAGAGTCCGCACTGTCTTTAGTCCTGGCAGGAAGCAAATAATGATGACCAGGAAGGGGGTTGCTGATAGGGGTTCAGTTCATTCAGGTACAGAAGGATCCAGACAGTTATTGTCTAATAAGCCTGTGGCTCTGTCCAAATGAAGGACACACCTAAGGACTTTCCAGATCTCTGCGGGCTCCCCACTCCAGGTATGTGGGATCCACCCTCTCAAACCACTGTCTCCCTCTGGTTCTCTATGTCAGCCAAGTTCTCCCCGCACTCACAGGGCTGCACCGTGCTGGCTTCTGCATAGCATAGGCATGTCCCATTTGAATCGCAATCCATCACCTTCCCACGTCTGTTGACTTGACACTTGATTTCAGTGATCCTTCGTGACATTTTCTCCCACATAAAGATTAAATGAGATGGTTTCTCCGTTTCTGGGAAATGCTCCCCCCATTCTCCCAGTCACTGAGCCATGAATGCTTGGCAGTGGGTCCCTCAGCCTTGCTCACCCTCCTGTAGGTCCCAGCCAGCCCCATCCATGCTTCTGTCCACGTGTCTCCGGGCACCTTAAGCCTTACACCCCCTCTTCTGCTGGTCCCTCATCTCCCGGCTGATGCTCAGCCCCCCCCCTGCCTCCCGCCCGCCTGCTCTGAGCCGCCTGGCAGGCAGCCGCCAGCTCTGCCTTGCTCACACAGCACTATACCGTGTGTGTCAGATTTGTCAGGGCCAACTGTGAACTCATTACAGCCCGGTCCGGCCCCTGCATCCACGGAGCTGAGCCTTGGAAGCCCTTTGACCCTTTTCTCCCCTACCCTCCACCTTGGTCCCACCCACTGCTCGCTCATATCTGGATCTCTACCCAGACTCCTGATGTTCTCCCAACAGCAGGCTCTCCCTCTCAACCATCTTCTATAGTTACTTGATTAGTGGCCCTAAAGCTCAGTTCTGACCAGAGCACTCCTCTGCTCAACAATCCCCTTTCCTCCCTACTGTTCACTGAATAGAGTCCGGTAGCTGTCATCTGGAGTTTGCCCAGTACTGGTTCAGGTTTGTTTTTTTTTTTTTCCTTTTCAGAAGCTCCTCTCCCAACCTAGCGGTTCTGCCAATCACATAGTAGGGGCGTGGCCCAGGATAGCCAATCAGAATCTTTCATGCCTCCTCCCCACAGTGACCCCAGGCAGCAGGCCTGGCTCAGGTAGGAGACCAGGCAGAGTGGTCTTTTGCACAAGGCTCTCCCTGGCACCATGGAAAAAGCAGTACTCTGAGCACTCCAGCAGGGAGGTAGCCTGTGCTGGTTTATCCAGCTGGGCTTTGCCGATGACCAGGATGATGTCAGTCTTTCACCACCAGTGCCATCTTTGCTACCATGGAGAAAGCCAGTGTGAGATAGCTGGAGAGAGAGGAGAGTCCTGGGGACACCGTGTGAACCTCAGTTTCCTGCCACCCTAACACCTGGCTCCCCTCCTGAGCCTAGAAGCTCCCTTTTCTTTCTAGCTCATTTGAGTTGAGTCTCTCTGATGGAAACAAGTCCTGGTTACTTAGGTGCCTGCATGGCCAGACTGAGACTGAGCCTTCTGCAAGGTCTTCCTCCCCTACCTTCAGTGGAGCAGCACAACCCTGCTCCCCACCCAGGCCCTGCCTAGTGCCAAGCTACACTCTTTCTGACTCAAGATAAAGGCAGTCCCCAAACACCAGCCCAGCCCCATCGCACTCTGCTCTTGCCCTGGCTGAGGACCAGTTCAGCAACCGGAGAACCCATGACTCTGCTGCCCACCCCAGCTCCCTAGACTTGTCCCTCAGACTAGAGAGGGGCTCCCATAGAGCTGACCACAGGCTTCTGAGATGTCAACTGTCCTCTAGATGACCTCTTTCTTACATTGCCACCACTGTGCCTGGCACCATCAAGGCCCGAAAAAGACCTCTCTCCCCTGCCTGCTCTTTCATGGGGCCATTGCAGCTTCAGCCCCTTTCCTTGCCCCCAACCATCAGATTCTGGGAAGTCCCACTATACTTTCACAGCCCACATGCTGCTGGGCTGTCCCATAGATATGTTCCAACCAAACACGTGTGCACATACACAGCTGGCTGCACATGAATAGTCTTCTTTACCCGCAGCCAGTCCAGCTAGAGAAAATTCTTGCCAGGGTCGCAGCCCGAAGCCCCCACAGGGAGGTGCATAGTCCCGGCTGGATTTCAGAGGGTCATCTCCTTCAGTCTTCCTACTCTCGTCCCCAGGAATTCCCCAGATCAGCAGAGCCAGAAACAGGCATATGGTACCCTCGAGGGTCCCCACTGTTCAGGAAGGGGTACTACTCATTTGTTTCAGGAGCCATCACCGAGGTCCTAGATCATAGAGAGCCTCATGCTGACCCTAACACTGGCTACAGAAAGTGTGCATGGGATGAGATAGCCATGCCAGGACTCCATTTCTGGGGCATGTCTCTTCTTCCAACTCCTAGGGGAGCCTATGAGATGGCTTCTGCCTCAGAAGGATCTATGTCTAGCCAAGGACATCTCAGGGCCACCAGACCTTTTGGCCACCACCATGGCTTGGACTAAAGCATTTCTACCCACCTCCATGCCAGCTACCTCTGCAAGAAGTGCTGGATCCCCTGGTTCCATCCCTGATCAGAGGACCACAGGCCAAGGTCACCTCCCTCTCTGTTCCCATCTTGACTGCTCAGAGAAGCAGTGGGTCTTCCAGTACCAAAAAAGAAGCTGTTGTATTTTAGGAGGACACCCAGACTGGTGCTCACTCTCCCCACATACCACCCATGGGAGCTGAAGCCGGGATGACTGGCCAGTGTTCTGTCCAAAAGCCCTAACCTGGGGGCTCCGTGCCTCTCCCACGTTGGCCAGGAACAGCCCTAGGAAAGCAAGTCGCACCCCACCTGACCCCAGACAGGCACAGCCCTACATACCAGGGCCCCCTCAAGGGCAAACACGGCTGCAGGCCCCGTCTTCTCCAGTGGCTCCATGCGGCGGCGCCAGCGGCGGCGGCGAAAGGCATCCGTCTTGCGGTACTCAAGGTGGAACTTCCAGCCAAAGAGCGAGGCATACTCCCAGCCCTCACCCTCTGCCTCTGCCTGCCTGTGCTGCACAGGAGAAGGGGGAAGACTGAGAAGCTGGCTGGCAGGCTCTGGGGTGGCCTGGGCCCAGCTCCAGGGGTGTTTTCCTGCGCTCTAAGACTCCCCACCACTCCCACACCAGCACCCTCCAGGTGGGAAAATCTGGGAGGACCGCCTGGAAGAGGGGTCTTCGAACAGCTCTTGCAGCAACTACAGCCCTAGGTTAGAAAATCAGGAGGAGAGAGGAGGCTCCCTAGGCTGTGGGAGACAAGCAGGGAAGATAGACTCTAGCAGTGATGGAAACACTAGGCTTTGGGTTGCCTGTTTATTTTAATTAAGGGTGGATTGCATGACTCCAATGTGTTCTTGTCATTTCCTTTTTCTTCTTCACATCCCAACTCATAAAAATGGAAGTGAGTCTGGAGCTTAGAGGCAAAACAAGGATCGTGTTTCCCAAGCCCAGGCTATTTCTCCCAATGAGGTGAGATCTAGGTCAGCTGTGGAGGGATCCCCCGCATCTCCTCTAAGGCGACTCTTTCCACAGCCTGGAGAGAGCCTGGAAGCCCCTTTCCCTGGCTCCTGGAAGACATCAGCCTGAGGCTGTCTTCCATCACCTCTTCAGTCTGGGCCAGAAGCAGAGAAGGGAGATCTCGTGCTAGAGGCCAGAAGTCCCCCTCCAGGCACCACCTTTGACAGTGGGGTGCCCATCCAGAAGAACTGTCTGTCTGGTTCACAGCACCAAGAGCAGCTGGTTGTTCAAAACTCCTCTTCCCCAGATCCAAATACATTCCTCTCTACATTCTCTGCTGAAAGAGAGGAGAAGGAACCTGGGCCATGCCAAAAGCTGCACTTAAACAGAGGCCCTGTTCTTAGGCCAAAATTCAAATGTGCACTTGAGAAGGAAAAGACATAAACCAAGAGGAGAGGTAGACACTGAGGGTGTGCAGGTCAGGGGCATCTGTGTGACTCCGGAGCAAGGGCAGGTGCTTGTGTGCACTCACACGTGTGCACCACAGACGCATCTGTGTCCTCGAGTGAATGCTGATGGGGCCCACCCCAGCCTCTTCACCAGGCGACACACCTGATGCACCATCCCCAGTAACCATGAGTGCTGGCTCCCAGCTCCCGGCAGCTGTTTGTTGCAAGGCGTCGGTCACTGCTGAAGGAAGCCACCGTACTAGGAGGTCTGTGCCCCAGCACACTCCAGTGGCTCTCAGCCAAGGACAGATAGCTAACAGGATGCAAACCCAGCCCCCTTCCTGCATGTGAAGAAGATCCTGGTGTGCTCAAGGGTGCACCCCCTGTTGGCCACATCCTTGCTCCTCACCCTCCTGAAAGCAGCCTCAAAAGCCTGGTGTCATGGCCACACCATGGGCTCTGCCTCTAGGAAGCCAGGCCTACGACACTTCCAGGGATGGCTTGGCCCCTTCTGGGGCTGGGTGTGAGTTCCGTGTTCTGTGTCTGCCTGTGCGTGTGCACTAGGTGTGTGCTGTGTGTGGTCTGTAAGCATCTCCAATGAGTCTATGCACACCACATGCACACCTGCCTCCTCCAGTCCACCACTCACTGACTCACCCTCTTCAGCACTTCCATCTGGCTGAGGTCCCTCCTGCGCAGACGGACCCAGCGCCGCCGTCGGTGTGTGTAGTACATCTTCTCAGCAGGGACCCAGTGCCTTGGCTTCCGGTCCGGGGGGATAGTGATGCTGTACTCCCAGCCTAGGGGAGTGGAACCTGTCATGGGTTGCCTAAAACTTCCCCATCTCTCCTGGAGCCACTTCCCCATCTAAAGCATGCACAGTCTCTTGAGTAGTCAGTGACTCTTGGCCATAATTTGGAACCTGAAGTACGAATGTCTCCAGGAAGTCACCCAGTGAAGGCCAGCACCCCGAGCAAATGGGCCATGGTACTGAGCTGTCCCCACTAGCACACCCCGAGTGCTCAGCAGAGGTGTGGCTCATCCGGCTCCAGTGCTGCCCACCTTGCTCGTCCACAGCACGATTGAGGTCCGTGGACCACTCTTCATCTTCCCACTTCCAGCCCAGTGGGCACTCGATGTCATCCTTTGGAAGTACTTTCTCCCCGTTCTATGGACAAGACAGGATAGGCAAGCATGAGAAGATTCGGACAGACTTCAGCAGGGCCCCAGCCAGAAGTACCGAGCCCTGGGAACTCAGGGTCACGGTACCTCTGGAAACCTCACAAGGTGAGAGCAGAAGACAAACAGCCTGAGTCTTATTAAGCCACAAGTCCCTCCTGGGACCAAACATCCAGGACCCCATGAAAAGCTGACCCCCCCACCCCTTGAGCACCCCCTAACCACATCGGTGTAGTTGTCACTCATGTAGATCCACTGGCCTCCGGGGAGCCGGGTTTGGTTCTCAAACACCTCCTCCACAAAGCTCAGGTGACCGGCATCAGCATCATAGAGCAAGCTGTGTGGGAAGATTGATCAGAGCCTCCTGGAAGGGGAGGCTGCCCACCCACCACCTCCAAGAGAGCTCCTGGCCAGAGCCAACCTGTATATCGCAGCCTCGACACCAGATAGATGGAAGGGAGGGGCCAGGGTAGAGAGCAAAAGGCAGAACAACATGGCTGGAGAAGGAAGCAAAACACCCAGAGAACACGTGAGCTGCTCAAACACAAGCAGGGCCCAGGCTGCCATGAAAGACAAGACCACACCAGTGGATGCAAAGTAGAGAGAAGGCTTAATAATGAAGGACTTTCTGAGTGTTAGAGCTCTTCTAGACAGAAACGGTATGTAGTGAGCACCACCACCCTCAACCCTAGGAGCATCCAACGGGCAGCTCCAGCCACCAGCACAGAAGCAGGGTGAAGAATTGACAGACAAAGAGCCAGGACAGAGGGAGCAGCAGAGGATTGGCAACCTGGCCTGGCCTCCCAAGACCACAACTCACGTCTTCTCCGGACACACGAACCAATCTCCAGCCCAGGCCCAACCAGCCGAGGGGCGGAAGCTGTCCTTGGGGAGCTTAATCTTGCCCGTGACATCAGAAAACTTGGGGTAAGTGAGGCCTGTTGTGCCCCAGTTCCCAACCAGGGCCAGCTTGGTCTGGTTCTCATACTGGAAGGCGAGGAAGAAGGAGAAGTGAGGGGACTGTGGCAGTGCCAGGAAGTAGGGGGCAGGCAGGGCAGCTGGCAAGCACTCACCGTTTCAGCAAAGACAGAGAGCTTCCCCTCTGCAAACTGGTTGAACTCCTTTTCATCCACAGAGAGCCCGAACCAGAGCTTGACTCGTATCTGCACTGGCATCCGGGCCCCAGGCACCCCCTCCATCGGATACTAGGTATCAGAAAAGGACAAAAGCCCATGGCCCCATTAGGACAACCCAACCAGGTGGGAGGAGTCTTCCAGGCCTAGGCACACCAGCCCACATCCCCATTAAGAGTGCCCTGCTGGAGGCCTTCACAGAATTGCAGCAAAGTGGGGTCAAGGTGGGCTGTGTAACTAAGAAACCTTCTCCCCCTGCCAAGACACCTTCTCGCCAAGGAGGAAGACTGTGTCACCCCCACCCAGGAGCTCTGCAGAGAGAGGCCATGTCCACCCGGACCTCTCATCTTCCCCTCTTCCGACATATCCTCATCTCCATTCTCAAGAATAGCACTGTCCAGTGGAACTTTCTGCTACAGTAGAAATGGTTTATAGCTGCACTGTCCAGTGTGATAGGCAAGAGCTCCATGCAGCTGCTGAGCCCTTGAAGAAGTGTGGCTAGTGTGACTGAGGAACTGGATTTTTAGTTTTATTTTTCATTTTAACTAATTTAAATTTAAAAACCAATATGCGGCCACTATATCTAAGAGCACCATTCTAGAATGTGACTCTAAATAAGACATAAGGCTATAGGTCTGGACGGGAAAGAATTTAAAGCCATTTCATTTCATTTTCAGTACTGTATATTTAGGCTAGACATTAGCATATCATATAATATCCCCGTATTCTCAAGCATTTATCAGCCTATTAAGCACTGTTCACTGGTCTTCCACTGCTTTTTATCCTGAAACTTTCAAAAGCTCTGCCAAAATGGAATAACCACAACAACCCAACATAAAAAAAATTATTCTCCACAATTACTTCACCATCTGACTGAAACCAAAGGTCAGATATAGCCTTGAGGAGCAGAAGTTTCTCACTCTTAGAATAACATATTGTTCCCTAGGGGAGGTAACACATTAAGTACCTAGGCCTCCTGTGCGTCAGCTTTCGGGGCGGGGTGTACTCCTGGACAGCGAGCTGATCGTGAGAGAAGAGAGCTTTGGTGGATTCAGAAAAGGAAGTGAGGCCCAAGCTGATGAGAGGCCTGGTTCCCAGAGGGGGAGCTCAGGGCAGAAAGGAGGCTAGGGAAGGGGTACAGGTCACAGCCAGGCACTGGCCACCTCATTTTTCCTAGACCCCCTTCTGCTGGTTCATCCTCAGTGAAGCCTGGAGGAGCCCCTGATCCCCACGTGTCACACCCTGGAAACCTCCCCATGACTGTTCGCCTCAGCTGTCCTCCCCCCGAGGGGTTAGCTGCCTTTTCCCCTCCAAACCACCAGCTCCAGGGAGATGGCAGGAATGCCTGCCCCCCTCCCATCCAGCCCCAGCGCGCTTCCCTGCCCTCCCCCAGACGGGGCCAGCCTGCCCGACCCAAAATAGCAACAGCAAATAAAGAAATGTCTAGTTGGGGCTCCTCTCCCTTTCTGCTGGTGCTCATTTTTTCCAACTTTGGTTTAAGTTAAGAAACACCAATGTTTTCTTGGTCTCTGCTCTCTGCCAACATTTTTGTAGAGCTTGCTCAGGAGCTACTGGCGGGGCTCATAAACTCAGTGGGGAAGACTTCGAGAAACAATTTCTATATCTTTTTTTTTTCCCCTTTGCCTGGAGTCAGGGAAATTTTTCAGTTTGCATTTCCCTGAGGCTGCAGGGCCAAGAGGTCAGAGCCAAAGCTCAGTCAGTTCCAGTGAGTCTACCAGGCGCACCTCTTCACCCCTCCACTCTCACCATACAGCCCTGCCGGCCAGACCCTGGGCGGGGACCACCCCTTCACTTCTTCCCCTTTCTGCCCCACAAGAGGAAGACTGGCTTAGGGGTGCGATTCGTGGTCAGGATTCAAGATTAGGATCATACAGCAAGGGTGCTCAGGTGGCACTTGAGCAGGTGGGAGGGGCAGTATCCTGCCCAACACACACACACACACACACACACACACACACACACAGTGTGTGTGTGCCCCATCCTTCCCTCAGGGCAAAGCTGCCTTCTCCCTCTGAAGTACCAGTGACCCTGCATGCATATATCTGCTCATCTCGACTTCAGCTGGACTCAGTCGTGGTCACCTAGTTTCAGCCCGCACTGCCTGTGTTACCTGATGCAGCCCTCCAAATCTGTGAAGTGGGTAGCCTCTCTTTGTGTCAGAGACAAGGAGAAAGCCGGCAGTTCAGCCCGGCAAGGCAACCTGCCCAAGGCCACACACAGTTCCAGCCAGCCCTAGCAACCTGCCCATACATGTGGCGCAGCTGAAACCTGTCCTCTCTCCCCATCTCAGGGACAAAAAGAATGACTGACCAATGTATGAATGGGTTGGTTGGCCAGCAGTCAACAGAAGTCTCAGGGGGTTCAAGGCTAAATTTGCCCAGCCATGCCCTCCTGAGAGAAGTGAGGTGGGAGCAGGGACGTGCAGAGGAAGGCTGGAGCAAAGGGGCTCTGTGGAGATGGAGGCAGCCGAGGCTGGAGAGGCCTTGAATGGAGAAAACAGGAGGAGTAAGGAGCAGGCCTCTGTCCTGGCTGCTCCCCGCAAGCAGGGCAGCCTGAACCTTTGCCTTCAGAGAAGGGGTTCCCCACCCCACATTCTGGACACCAGGCCACCGCCCCAGACCAAAGAAGCCTTGGCTCTATGTTCCTACATTAACACAGAGAGGACAGGAGGCCCCTCCCCAAGCACCCGCTCACTTCCCCTCACTCCTGACCAAGAGAAGGAGGGGAGCAGGGAGGGGTGCTGAAATACAGAAAAAGTGGAGGTGGGGCTGGGAGCCCCTGACACCAACCTTCCCCGCAGGGAGGAGGGTGAGCCCACGCACGGCTCCAGCTGGAGTCGAGAGCCCTGAGGGTGTTGAGCAGGGTGTGGAGGCTGGGTCTGTGTGAGAACTATTGGAGGCTAGGGAAGGGGGACCTCCCCTGAAGGACAAGCAGGGCCTTAGGGATGCACCCCTAACCCCAAAAGCCAGAGCCACAGGCTCCTCCTCACTCGTTTCCAGCACCCATGATCCCAGTCCAACCTGCTAGCCTTCTAGACTACAAGTGTGGAGTCTGGGGTCTTGGTACAGGACAGAGGAAAAGGAAAGTCATTTTATTAACAGACCCTCTCTCCTTCTAAGACCAGAGCCCAAGGACTCTGATTTAGGTCCAGAACAGGAGGGGAACTGGAAGAAGGAAGAATAGGGCCCTATGTGGAGAAAATCTGCATGCGCCCTGCGAGATAAGCAAGCGTACTTTCAGAAAGATGGTCTGCAGCTTCCCACAGTTCTTGCCGCTGTAGCTGGTGCCCCGCCGGGAGAAGAGGATTTCATGGGCAGGCACCCGCTGGTAGGCCACGCGCTTGTCTCCTTGCAGCATCCAGATGACAATATCCGGCAGGCTGTTCTGGGGCTGGAGAGAGGCGGCATGCAGTCAGGCTGATGACAGCGACATACCCAGGCCCACGCATCACGGCAGCACAGTGAGCCATCCTCTGGCTCAGAGGCCATACAAGTCTCTCCTCCCCAGCTTCCATCCACACACTGCCCACCACGGCCTCCCAGAGTTGTCTGGGCATCTGTCTTCAGCAGCTCTGAGCCCCCACAGACAGAGCTTGAGGCTGCCCCCGCCACACATGCATGAAGATGGCAGAGCTGAGCACACTCTGCCTGGAGCACTGAGCTTCAGTTCGTAGGTTCTCTTTTGCAGGACAGATGTTCCCAAGAGCAAACATCATCCTTAAGATACCAGCCTCCTTCCTCAGCCTGGAGAACAGCAACAACTCAACAGAAGGTGTAGCCCTTCCCACAGGACATTCGTCCTCCTGACACTGATACAGGACCCTGAGGCCTGGAGACCCTGGGCTCTAAAAGTGGGCATAAGCTCAGAACGGAAGTGCCAGGCCCCCAGCCCTCAAGGCCTTTAGCTGTGAGTAACAACTATGCCAGCCTCACAGTCTGGAGAGAGGGCTAGTTGGAGAAGGGGCTGTGTGCATCCCGGGAAGGTGAGCAAAGGTGCTGGTGGGGTCTACCCAGCCTGCTGCAGGGAGCACTTGATCACCCTGTGCGTGCACTGCTCCACTTAATCCCTGAGTTGCACAAGGGGCAGGAACGGCTTCTCCACTTGACAGATGAGACGGGTTAGAGAAGTCAGAAGCCACACCAGGTTTTTCTGATCCAGATATGTGCTCTCGGTTAAGAAAGAGATGTTCAAAGCATGGCCCCAGTCACAGACAGCTCCTGGGATCCTAGAAATACAAATCTCCAGGCTCCACTCCAGACCCAAGGGGTTAAAATTCTGGGGATTCTGATACACATGCAAGTGTGAGAAGAGCTCTTTCCGGTGCCCTTACACTTACAGTCCCTGTTTGGCCATAACCCCTCCCAGCCCTTTTACAATCTATGCTAAGAGTTCAGAAGTGGTCTCCCCAGGGAGATATCCAGGACACCTGCTCCTTCCTGGGCAGCCATCCCCACCTCCCCTCAGTAGTCCATTGCTCCAGAAGGCCCTCTCCAAGACAACCTGCTCTGTGTGCTCCTTCCAGGGACAAACCTCCTCACTATGCCCACCTGCTCCTGCGGCTCCCCATGGCTCCCATTTTTGCAGGGATGGAGGGTCCCTGCACTTGCACAGACCCTATAAGTGCACATTTCTCCTCATCCTGAACCAACCCCTGCCTTGCTTGCTTGCCAGGAAGTAGGTTGGGTGTGGAGAGAGGGATGCAAGTAGGAAAAAGGTCCCCCAAAGACAAGCCAGAGTTGGTTCTCACTGAGATACACCAAACCTCAGAGCTACAGCAAATGCAGCCTCCCTGGCCTGGGTTTCAGGGCCATGTAAGAGAAACAGAGGGCCTGCGAAAGGCAGACTGAAGAGAGGTGCAGACAGGCACTGGTTGGCAGGAAGAAGGAGCCAGATCCCTTCAAAAGCAGGCCCCAGCACAGACTTAGAGCCTGGCACCCTGGGTTCTGCTCCCAGCACTGCCCCTAACATCCATTAGTGGACCGGGTACATTACTGAGCACCGACTCTGTACCAGGCTCTGTGCTGGGCTACCTATCCCCCAGTAGGCTGTTGTATCCTTTCTCCTCCTTCCACATGTGGGGATATTGAGGCCCAGAGAAGTTAAGTCATCTGCTGTAGGTCACTAAGCAATGGTCCAGATAGGGCTCATGTACCTCCCTGATCCAGCATTCCAGCAGCAAGAAAGCAGAGGAAAGAAGGTGCCCCATGGGGTTAACTACCTCCTCCGCTAGGGCACGGAGACGCAGGAGCCAGTCCTCAGCCTGCTCCAGGGCAGCGGGGAGCTCACTGTGGCCAAGCTTCAGGGCCAGGGCAGCCTCAATGATTTGGCTCAGGTGGCGGGTACGCAGCCGGAACAGGTACTGGTCCAGGTGGGTGGCAGAGGGTATCTCCAGAACATTACTCAGGGGCTGGCTGCAAGAGACAGAATGTTCCCGATGAGCAGGAGCCCAGTGCTGCCTGAGGTCAGACACACATGCATGTGCACACAGATATACACACCTGTGCACAGCACACAAGTGTACACACTCATGGCACAGGTCCCGCCCTCAGCCCACCTGCAGGTGCCTTCTCCAGCTCAATCTTCGTGTATCATCTCTGTGTGGCAGGCACCATCCTTACCTCCTCCAGGAAGCCCTCCCAACCATATCAGCACTCATGCCTCCCATTCTGAAGCCCTTGGCCCTTAATCCTGGGGCCATTGAGGACTCACCCTCAGTCTCTGGTCTGTTCAGTTCTTTTGCACAGGTGTCCCCCTACGCCCACCTGACTATAAACTCTCAGAGGACCCAGAGAGTCCCCTCCTGCTTCCCGCATCCTCCTAGAGCAGAGGCCCCAGCACTAAGTTGTCTACACTGAAACAAATCCATTCTGTGTTGTATGCACACTTTCTCCAAGAAGGAAATTTATGGACCCCTGATGAGCCACTGCAGACACTGTGGGGAGGCCAGCAGCCAGTAATACAGATTTGTCCGCCCAGGGCTGCCCCAAACCCCTCTCAGAAGCCTCTCCTTTAGGAAGCCTTTGGAGAGAACATGGGGGTACACACAGCTCTCAAAGCACAGCTCTGAGCTCTAAGTGAGTTAGGTTTAAACTCAGTCTTACTAAGAGGCAAGGGCTCCCTACAAGATCTTCATAAGGCTGCTACACACCATTCCCAAGTCTGGGGTGCCTACACATGCCTGGATCATGCAGGGTGGGTGGGGACGTCTGTGCTCTCCCCCACCACACAGGACCCCTCCTGATGGTCCCAGATTGAGCACAGGGCGGACTGCCCTGCCCCCTCGCCACCCCCAGCCGAGCTCTTGACTCCCAAACAGGACATTAGTCAAACCAGCTCGCCAGGTCTGCTCCCACTGCTCGCACCCCACCTCCCCTCCCTGCAGCGTCTCGACTCCCGGCTCCCGGCTGATTTATTTTTCTGCCAATTTCCCCAAGCTATGCAGAACCAATTACCGCCGGAGCGCAGCGGCACCGCCGCCGCCAGATACACCACTCTGGCAGGCCCTCGGCGCACTACATTTTTCCTGTTATTTTTTTTAATTGAATTTTTAGGATGGGGGGAGCAGTGCACGAACTCCATCTCTGGGAAACTTAAGCCCCGGGGCCTGTCTCAGGTCACGTACTGCACACCCCGTAGTAATATAATATTTACTGCCCCGAGGGTGCCGCGGATCGGGCTGCCCCGGGCCAGGACATGCTCGGTGGGGAAGGGGGGACCTGGGCTGGAGTCCTGGACAGGCCCTGCCTAGGAGCCAGCCTGAGTGGGTCCAGGCGGGCGGGGGGCATGGGCCTGGAGAGGGCTGGGGAGAGGCAGCCAGCCAGGGTGATTTATGCCCCCAGCCTGGGTCGGAAGCTGGGAAGGACAGCGATAGAGACCACCAAAGGGAGATTTTCATGGAGGCCAGGAGCCCCGCCAAGACACCCCAAGAAACAAGACTCGTGAGTGGCACTAACAAGATGTTTTGACCTTTTCTCACCCCAGAAAATCCCAAGGCAGGGGATACAGAAAGAAGAGGAAGCGGGTTGATGCTGCACCCCAGGGTTTCAGGGGCAGGTGGCTTGCAAACTCTGGCCAGCTTGGAAATCTGGGGTGGCCTGGCCACTGGCAAAGTTGCTGCCTGCCCTTGTGGGATCAACTAGTGACTGTAACAGGAACATCCATCAGGGCAGTGAGTCCAGCCTGAAAGATGAACCAGCCTTGTGTCACTCATTTCATTCTGTAAGCAATAGCTCTGCTGGGCCTGCGCGGAGTTGGGGTGGGGACCAGGCCCAGCGATGCACTCTCTGGGCGCAGTGAGAGGCGGGCGGTCCACAGTGCCCACTGGAGCAGCTCAGAGTCAGGAGTCCTTCTTGGATGAAGCGTCCCCAAGCTGTACTTGGCAGGGCTGGTAGGAACTGGTCAGGCCAGGAGAGTGCAGGGCTTTGGGACAGATGCACCCAAGGAAAAACAGAGGCAAAGGAACATATGTAGGGTAAGGAGGGCCCTGCAGCCAGTAGGGAGGTCTAGAAGGGCTGGGGTCTGAGGCAGGTGATGAAGACAGAGAGGCCTGCTCACCAGGATGAGAGCTGAGAAGTTTCCAGAGTGCAGAGGAAGCCACTGCAGGGTGGACAGGACATGCTGATGTGAGCGGAGCAGGGAGATAGACAGGAGGAGGAAGGACAGCAAAGAGGCAGAGGTGACAGGGCTGGGTAGGGAGGGAGCAAAATCAGAGCCGGCCTGGTTTCTGGCATGGGGACAGTGGGTCTGGGAGAAGACACAGGGGGGTAGGCGATGAGTTGTCTGGGGCCTGTATAGCCCCAGATGCTACAGGACAGCAGCATGGAGATGCCCAGCACACAGCTGGGGCCCTGGGTCTGTGAAGAACAGAATGGACACCACTGGCCCTGGGTGGAGGGGGCGGCTTACAGGGACATGAGCTTGGAAAAGGCCCGAGTTGGAATGAGGGACGCTGATGCTGGAGTTTCATGCGGGCCTGAAGGAATGGGCAAGCAGCCATGGTCAGCCATGCGTGCTGGCTTGGGGACCTGCACCTGGATGCCGTGCTGCAAAGATGTTCATCTCCTGGGTAAGAGTTGGAAGAAGCCTTGTGCTGAGGCCCCAGAACTGCTTGGTGGACTCAGGTGATGTGGTCCTGGATGCCTGGATTCCTTCCCAAAAAGCCATTTGTATGTTCCATAGAGGATGAGAACTCAGCTCCCCTCCCAAGCTCCTGACCTGGGACCACTGGCCCAGGGGCGCCCATACTACCTTTCTACCTTAGGAGAGAGACTCAGAGGGCCAGGCTGGGTTGGAAGAAGTGTTCTTAGCTAAACCCTCAGAAGCAGAGCACTGTCGGGGGCGCTGAGGGTGGCCCAGGACCTGAGCCCTGCCTGTCTCAGATGTTCCACAACTGCAGACCTGCCAAGGTCCACCCCACACAGGAGTCATGAACACTGCTTCAGGGAAAACCCATGCCCTGCTGCCCACCACCCCGAGGCTGGGCCAGTGAGGCACAGCAAGTCACTCTGAAGCCGTGGTCTGGGGTTATGGCGTGCCATGCGAGCTCAGCCCACAGTGGTACCCCTCCCTGTTCTCACTGAGCCCCTCTGTGCCCCTCTAACCCCACTTGTCCTCCTACCTCCAGACCACAGAGCCAGTTCCCTCCCAGTTCCCCCCACCCTGCCCTTCTTCCTGCTGACCTTGAGAATGGGTCCAGGGCTCACCCAGACCTGGGGGCCATTCTGAACCTTCCTTTGACCCCTGCATCCAGTCCATCATCAAATTCTTTCCAGTATAGAGCAGTACAGCAAGGGGGCTCTGCCATTTAGTTGGCATGTAAATCTGGGCGGGTTAATTAACCTCTGCCTTAGTCCCTCATGTGTAAAATGGGGCTCATGCTATTTCCTACCTCCTATGAGTGTTATGATTAATTAAGGCAAGTAAAATTCTCATGGGAGGCTGAGGCAGGTGGATCACAAGTTGGAGCCCAGCCTGAGCAACTTCATGAGACTTGTTGAAAAATTTTTAAAGAGGTTGGAGTTGTGGCTCAGTGCAAAGACCCTGGGTTCAGTCTTCAGTGCTTGTAAAAACTATTCCTGGAACAGTGCCTGGCACAGTAAGTGTCATCCTAATGCCTGCGGGAGTGTCCATGCTGCCTTCTGTTCCCCTCAGCTCCCACTCTTCGAGGTCTCCCCATCTCAGGTGCCTTGGTCACACTTTAGCTGCACCACCATGTACCCAGCTTCCCACAGTCTGAGCCCCAGCACTGGTCCCTCACCACCATCAGTCCACCCCCACACTGCGGCCAGAGTGAGCGTTGGAAGCACAGGGCCACCTTCCCCCCTTAGGGGCCACCAGCCCTCAGTACTTCTCAGGATCCCCCAAGCCCTAACCCATGGGCCTGAGCTCCTTCCTGCCCATCCCTGGAGGCAGCAAGCATATCAAGCTTCTGTGTCTTTGCCTGGGTTGCCCCTTCTCCAAAGCGTGACACTCCTCCTCCCTCGGATCTCATGTCAAGCATCCTTCCTCTAAGAAGCTGGGTTCAATGGATTCCCTGGATTCTATTTGTTGGCATTAGGTGCACCTGCTCTGAGCCCTGACAGCCTAGGCCTCCAGCTCCACAACACACTTAACTTCTTGCATTCGTGTTTGTATCCATCACCCCCTACAGGCTACAGCTGCACCCTTGTCAACATGCTTGGCACTGAACCTGCCAGGCTTCAGGAAGGTCTGGGAAATGGATGAATGACTTGTCTGGAATTCTACCAAGGAGGGCGGCTTCTTCTAGGTATGGTAACACTTTGACAAAGATGCACATGGGCACTGCATCAGGTGGCCAGTTTCTCAGTACAAAGGTGTCTCTCTGATCTGTTCTGTAGGGCTCCGGAGTGAGGCTGAGGTAGGGGTGATGAGATATGGGGGGGGCGGGCACAGATTCGCTTTAACCCCTTAAAGCAGAAGGGCAGGGATTTGTTATTAAGTTCATTTAACATCTGAGAAACAGGTCCAGAGAAGGGAAGCTGCCTAAAGCCACAAAGCTGGCTAAAGGGGCTAGCACTTAGGTCTCCTGACATTTCATCTTCTTTACAATAATTACAGCTACCATTTATTAAATCCTTCCTAAGGTCCCAGGGCTTTGTTTATTAGATATTAAAATGCGGTTATTCTTCATGCCAAGTTCAAGTTCAAAGTCCCTTTTGCAGTGGCTCCCCAAACCACCCACCCAGCTGTGGAAGAGATGCTGAGATGTGCCCCCTCTGCTAGGCCTCTGTACCCCCACTCTGCATCACCCCCAGCCCCCTTTTCCTAAAGCTGACAGCCAGCCCTGCCAATAGAAGGCTAGACAGAAACTGTGGTTCCTGACATGGCCTTGAGGGAGGGGCGCCCCACCCCCAGCCAGCTTCTCCTGGAGATTCCATCAGGGAAATAAGAGGTCGGAGATCAGAGACACAATGCTCCCCATTCAGGTGAGCTGGGCCGCCAGGGGCCCACAGCTGCTGCTGCTGCGGGGAGATTTATGACCTGCTCTAAATGTCACCTTTTCAACTCCCCGTGCTGGCTCCACCACCTTTGGACTCAGCTTGGGCCGGACTGCTGGCCAAGCGTGACTGGGAGACGTGCCGCTGCTCACCGCCACACACGAGCATGCCCAGGAAAACGGCCGGCTGAGCCAGGAGGGGCAGGCACTACGCATGCCAGGTGCCCCCTACCTGCAGTCTGCAATGAGCTCATCCATCAGCTGAGCCACCAGGAGGTCCATGTCCTCGGTGGAGCACTGCGCCTTCAGGGCCAGGTGGACCTGCTCCAGGCCGGCTTCCTATGGGACAGGCAGGCAAAGGTCAGGAGCGTCACCACAGAGCAGAAAGTATGCACGGGACCCAGCCCCAGGCCCTGTCACTGTAGCCAAAAAGGTCCCTGAACCCAAAAAGAAGTGAACCATTAAAGCAGAGAAGGCAGAGCTCAGACCCAACCAACCATCACTGTCCTGGCTCAGAACCTTCCAGGGCTCCCCGCTCCCACATCCCCCAGCCTGCGACTCCAGCCTCTCACGAGGTGTTCTCAAGCTGTCTATGGGCTTTGACAGAACTTGAGCACATCCTGCTCCTCACCTGCCACCTCCGAGTCAGCTCTGACTCTGCAGGTGAGTGGCCCGATGAGCATGCCCTGGCTCTCGCCTGGAACCTCTCTCCTGTCCAGATCCCGCCACACATCTAGACCCAAATCGAGTCTGCCTTGCACCCAGAGCAGTCCAGCACCTCCGATTACACAGAGCTTCTTCTCCAAACTCCACGGCCAGGCTCTCACCGGGCCACATCTGCCTCGTCCACTGAACTGCTTTCCTGGCCCTCCTCACAGGCCTCAGCCCCGAGCTGGGGGGCACAAGCCGTTCTCACAATACCTGCCAGGCCCAGGAGTGCTCCACACACCCGTGCCCACTCATCAGCCCTCCTGAGCAGGTGACATGAGCTCCACACTGGGACCACAGTCTACAGACAAATCCTAGAAACAAAACATGGTCTCTGCTCTCAGACTCTGCAGTCTTGCTGTGAGACGGTGACTGACCCAGCATCCCACCTGCACTGGACAACGCCAACCCCAAGTTCTCCCCTTCTGGGTGTTTGCTGGTCTTCTTCCTCCCTAGAGCTGGCAGTCTCAGGAATCTGCAGAGCCCTGTGGCGGCTCACCTAGGCTGGTCTCCTCCCACCACTCCGAGACCCTTCCTTCCCCTTCCCTCCCGTCTTTTCTTCACACCAACCCCCTCACCAGACACGCCCAGGCCTCTCCTCCCCAACCCTTCCTCACCCTACCGCCCTTGCTTTCCTCAGCAGCATGGCCACCCCTGCCTCCTCTGCCATCCCCTTGGGCTGCAGTCCTCCTGGGAAAGCCTCCACCCACCCAAAGAAATGCCTGGAGCACTGTGCAGACCGTCAGCTTCCCCCCAGCCTTCTCCCTCCCTTGGCCTCCACACCTCTGCCTACCTCCGATTCTTCTCTTCTCCCTGGCCTTGTACACCATGCGCAACTCCCACCATGTGTGAGTAACGCCTCTCCTCAGCTCCAAACGGAACCCACTACCTCCCCTCACACACTCTGCTGTTTTGTCCAACTTCCTGGTTCCCCAGCCACCAGTTACTCCTTAGACCCCTTCCTCTTCCCAAAGCCAACAGGCCACCAAGACCTTGTAGCTGCATCCACTCTCAAAAGCATCTCCCTCCCAGAGCCTCATCACCTTCCCTTGGGCCCCTGTCGTGGCAGCCTGGCTGGGCTCTCACTGGACATGGGACCGCTCTCCGCCTCATGGTGCTTTCCTATGCTCCTCCGCTGGTCTCCCTCCTGAGCTCATGTCTCTTCCTTGTTACCCCTGAGTGCCCCCTGGAGCTAGGTTTGGAAGGACCTGCATGAGAGGTACAGGAAGGCTGTACCCTCCTTTATTAAATTGACTTCTTTTCTTTTTTTGGTTTTTTTTCCGGTACCAGGAATCGAACTCATGACCTTGCACTTGCCAAGCAGGCGCTGTGCCGCTGAGCTAAATCCCCAGCCCTAAACTGACTCTTGATGCTGGAGCAGCACCTTGTCACGTGTAGCTTCTGGCTTCTGGCTAGAAGGCTCCAGCACAAGTGCTTGCATGTGCTAAGAGTCAAAGGCACCTGGCAAATGAGTGAGTGAGCCGGGGCTGGGCTCTGTCCCACAGCTCCCAGCTGCACCTCTCCCAGGCCTCTCTCGGGTTGGTGCTGCATCAAATCAGGGCTTCCCCAGCACTGTTCACACCCCCTTTCTCTCCCCAGCATGCAGGACAGGACACAGGACACCAGGCTGTGAAGGTCGCTGGGCACAGCCCTGTGTTGGTTTGTGCTCTGAAAGCGGGCAGGTCTTAAGACCCCGTGGCATGGCAGGGGCACAAAGGAGGTCTGGGGAGGCTTCCACTCACCAGCCGGTCAGCAATCCTGAGCAGCTGGTTCTGAGTCTCGATTCTGTGGCTGATGTCTTCCCAGTAGGAGGACAGCACCACCACGGGCTTCACGTTGCCCCACGGTAGGTAGTAGTAGTGGCATCCTGGAGGGAGAAGGGGCTGAGCACTGGGCAGAAGCCGGGGGCTCTGGGCCACAGCGCTGCAAAGCTCAGGCCCCGGGCCCTCAGAGCTGGAACGGGGCACAGCATAGAGGGTGGGAGGAGACAGACACCCGCTCCGTCTCCCGCCTAAGAACCACGTGGACACATGCGGTGTGATCTGTACCCCCAGTGTCCGAGTAAGCTCCACGCTTGGGGTGAACAGACAGCTGGGCTCTCCCTGGGGCCCCCGGCTCATCACAACAAGGTTGTTACAGTGACCCTGGGAAGCCCAAGCCCTCACACCCCACAGTCCCTAAGACAAGCTCAACAGACCCTATACAGTGACAGTGATAGGTCAGGATCGAAGGACCAGGGCTGCTTTCCGGAGCCCAATCTGTGGCCTCTGGCAGCAAGGCCTCACCTCAGGGAGTGAGGAGGAAGAGGCACAGGGAGTATGACCTCAAACAGGCAGGCCAGGGCCTCCAGCAGCTCTCCAGGGAAGCAGCACTTAGAGTTCAGCCTCTGTTTTGAGGTCCAAGTCTACCAGGGAAACCAGCTCCAGCCTCACCATCAAAGACTGCCCGGCTGTACTGGGTGGTGGAGGCCAGAGGCAGGCAGGTCGTGTCGAACTTGTTGCCATAGTTCCCAATGCTGACCTCGAACTGGATGGCATCATCCACGTCCTGCAGCATGGAGGCCGAGTAGAAGGCAGCAAAGAGGGAGTACTTGCGCCTCCGGAGGTACTTCTGAGGGGACAAAGAGGGAAGACACCGAGGTGGGTCACATGTCTGGCAGGCCCTGCCTGTGACCAGCACCCAGGCACTCCTGACTGGACTGACAGTGGCAAACAGTGCAACAGAGAAACAGCATCCAGGTTTGGTTACTGACAGAACAAACCCATTCTAGGTGTACGTGCATTAGGCCCCGTTTCCCTAATAAGATCTGCACCGCCAAGGTCACGGGGCTCCTTTGAACCCGCAGCAAAGGCACCCACCACAGGGGCGGAGCAGGGTCTCCTTGGTGGCCCTCAGGGCAACCCGGGCCTCATCTGCCATGGAGAGGAGCTGAAAGCTCTCGGCCACCTTGCCCCTGCCTGAAGCTCCCACGGCAACCCACTCAGCTCTCTACCATAGCATCCAGCCCTACAGTACATGTGGGTAGCCACTGCCTCGTGCCCGGGAAGAGTGAACCCCCTGTCCACTCTGGGCATAGGGCACAAGGCTCAGTCACATGTCCTGATTTGAACCAATTATTTTAGCTCATGGAAAGGAGAAAGAAGAGGAGTTAAACAAGTGGATTTTAAGAGAATATTAATAGTAATGACAACGAACACTTATTGAGTGCTTACTGCATACATATATTAATTCACTTCTCACAGCAGTCTTGTAAGGTAAGGGTAATTATTATGCCCACCTTACAGATGGGGAAATTGATACAGCTGATAAGCAGTAGAGCCAGGATTCAAACCAGAGCTGACTGACTAGGATGTCTAAATACCCCCAGCTCTGCCATTCATTATTCTGATATATCTGAGCCTCAGTTTCCTCATCTGTACAGATACCCTATGGGGTGCTGGGAAGATTCAGGGACATCAAGAGTGTCACTAGCAGTGTCTGCAATGTGGTCTTTAGTTGACTCTGGTTATTATAAAATAGCATCTCATTTTGCATCAAGCCCTAGACTTTCAAAATACTTTCCTTTAAGCTCTTTAAGCCTCTGAATGCTGCAGTGGTGTTGGGGAGAGTGCCACATTATTCCTACTTCACAGCTGAGATGCTGAGGCTTACGGAGGTTCAGCTATAGTGAGTGTCCTTCTCCACCATGGCACCTGCTTGGCCACCTTGCCCCCACCCCAGGAGATACCCATGTCCCCCTGACTCAGAGCGGGGCCCCTCACCTCCACCCGGAGGATGTCATCTGCAGGGAGGTCCTCCACCTTCTGCTCACTGTGCTCCACCAGCTTGGTCTCCAGGGACAGCAAAACCCGGCCTCGGTAGGCCACACCTTCCCCCTGCAAGCGGGGTTCAGGTCACCAGAGAAGGAGCGGGGCACAGCGCAGCCCTAAGGTAGCTCATCTCCCAAGCATCAGGAGATGCCACCATCATGCTGCAGATGAGGGCGGTTGGGCCCCGAGAGTTCAGGGGACATTTCAAGCCTCCCAGACAGTCGGTGCCAGCCTCCAACTCAGCCTGAGGGAGTGAAACCCGAGAGGAACAGGACCTGGGTCTTTGGAGCCAGGCTAGTGGAAAGGTCGGCCTGGTCCTGAGGGCTAAGAGTGTGCAGGCAGGAGAAGCCTCTGAGCTTGCGGTCGCCTGGCCCTGGGCCTGCTCGGGGCTCCTCAGAGCTCTAGAATTTCAGCCAGGCCTGGATGCTGCCTAGGCCAAGCTGGAGATGCCCCTAGGCAGACCTGGGCACCTGGGGGCCGGGGATCTGGGTCAGGCACTTTCTGGGCTCCTGCAGCTCACCTTGCCCATGTTGAGCTCTGCGTAGGGGTCTGGGAAGCCAGTAAACTCTCGGGGGCTGCCGTAGAGGTTCACATAGCAGGGCCCGAAGGTGGGGAGGAAGCCCAGGTGGTCATCCACTGCGAGACACAAGTGCGGTCAGAGGGATTGGCCCAGTGGGTCTTGACCCAGTCACCTTGAGACCTGAGCCCATCCCTGGCCCTGACTCCCCCACATGCACCAGATGCAGCCCCTGTAGATGTATAAACAATAACGACACTGGTGGTACCTGTCATCCTCTCTCTTAGTCGCTTTATCCTCACCACTACATTGAGCCAAAGCTATCTCTGTTCTTTCATTAGTCCCATTTTACAGATGAGGAAATCAGAGATGCAAAGGAACACACAACCACAAAGTGGCAGGACCCAAACTGTGTGACCTCACAGCCTGTGCTCTCAGCCGCATGCACACAAGCCGGGGCTCAGGACTGCCCCCTGCCCGTGCCCTCCTCAGGCTCCACCCAGCCCTGCCGCCTTCTCCAGCCCACACCAGTGCCCAGGCCCTGCAGCCCATGGGGAGGCACAAAGCTCCCATATCCCAGTGATCAGAGCAGCCATTTCCCAGGCAAGTAGGCAGCCCCCGGGAATATACCCTCAACCTGATGGCCTTGCCTCATCCTGGTCTTGCAAAAGGGCACACCTAGCACTCCTAACCCTCTTGCACACATACACTGTGCAAAGAGCAAGTTTTCAATGGACCAGGTTGGAGGACTGTTAGAGGGAGAGTTAACAAGGAAGGACAGCTTTTCTCCACACCATTCCTCTGTTCCGGAGGCTTCCTTTCGTGAGTGTCATTTTCTAGCTCTAGCTGCACTTCCCAGAATGAGGGTTTTATGGACAATATGCTGGCAACCCTGCAAAGCCAGGATGTCCCTTTCAGAGGAAGGAGGACAAGGACATTTCCAGAACAGCAAAGGTAGGAAGTGGGACAGGACCATCTGGGTGGCTCTGCACAAGTTGGGTCAAGGTGAGCACACAATAAATGCCCTCAGCAAAGAAGTGCACAGGGCAGACCGAAGGTGCACATTTTCAGTCCTGAGATCCGGGGGGTGAGGCAGAGCAGGGACAGGCTGGAGCCATCGCAGAAGCACCCTGCACCCTTCCATATTTTCCCTCTTCCAGACACCAGCACAGATGGGGCTCTGGCTTTGGGAATTAAAGGGGAGACCGGGGGGTGGAACTAACGTGAACATTACTGATCACCTTGATTGTGATTTACCTTGTGAATTTCCACTTCAAGAGTGCTCCATTCCCCACTCCAGCCTCCTCCTGGTCCCCAAGACCCCTTAAACTCCCCCTGGCCTCCTGCAGACTCACCCCCAACACCTCTAAGACATCAACCCAAGCCACAGCAGGCTCGGGAAGGGGTCTGGGAGGGTGGGAGGAAATCACCCTTGCAGCATTCCAAGCAATTTCCACATGCAACCAGTGGTGGAGAGGTGACCACCGAAGATAAACTCAGGCGTTGTGGGTGAAACGCGGTCCTCCTTCATGCAAACCAAGAAAAGTCCCTGCCTCCAGCACCCTCTCCCTCCAGGAAGCCCCAGGACCCCATCCCCTCATGGTCCCCTAGGTGATAGCAACATACGGTCCGTGGCTTGTGAAGACTTGACCACACTCGAAGCCTCCTCTGAAGCAAAGAAATGGAAAAGAAGTTAGGATGGGCATGGCGGGAAAGAGGAATGGTTATGTGAACGGGTGCGTGGATGGAGAGCTGGCAGACAGAGGACAGAAAGGCAGCTCCTGCGTAGGAAGCAGACGTAGCCCAAGGGCCCACCCTGAGTTGAGGTGTTAATTTATTACAAACTAGAGCTTTCCAACCCCCAATCCAGTCAGACACAGCCCCCTGTACCACAACTGGGCCTGTAACTTGATCTACTCAAAAAAGAAAAGAAAATATGCTTTTCTACAGTGTAGCAAGTAAAGGAAGGGAAACAACGTACAAATGTAAAAAAAAAAAAAAAAAAAAAAAAAAAAAAAAAAAGGGTAAGGGAAACACCTGAGGCGCCAGAGTGAGGCCACAGGACACACCCAGCACTCCTAACAAGCAGGTTGACACTTGGGACCCTGCTGGCTGAGCAGTGGCATTTCGAGGCCCAACATCTCCACCTAGAGGTCATTTTCAGTACTGCCACTGAAGACAACCTGTTGCATTTTCACAACAGCAGGCAACCAAATCTGGCTTCCAGCACATTTGATAAAGGCTCTGCACACTTGAGTGTGTCCCCACATACTGGCAAAATATGTCCAGAAATAAGCAAGGAAGGAAGTGCTCCAGCACATTTGGGCTCTTGGTATCCATCCCTTACTTCTAGACAGGTATAAGATGCCCCAAGGGAGTGGGCATCCTCAGCCTTCACCCAGTGCCTCTCTGATCTCTGCCTCTGCCACACTATGACCTTCTTCTCTTTCTTCAACCACCAAAGGGTAACCAAGTCTGCAATCATGCCCAAGCCTGGTCATAGTTAGTGAACTTCATGATTATTCTTATTCAGTGTTTATCTTTGCCTATTACTCTTCATTTAAAAAGGAGAAGCAAGCCAGGCATGGTGGCGCAAGCCTGTAATCCCAGCACTCGGGAGGCTGAGGTAGGAGGATCATTGTGAGTTCGAGACCAGCCTGGACTACAAAGTGAGCTCAAGGCCAGCCTGAACTGCATAGCAAGACCCTGTCTCAAAAAAGACAAAAAGAAGAAGAAACTGTTGCTATGTTCTCATAGCTCCATGATTACAGTAGGCTTGAGCAAAATGCTGTGAAGGAAGAATATGCAGAGATAGGGAAAGAAAGTGGAGAAGAGAGAAGAGAGGAATGTGGGAGTTGAGGGAAGGATAGGGCGGGACCAGTGAGGTCAGAGGTTGGGGGAGGGCGAGGTCCTGAGCCAGTACCTCAGATGTCTGCAGCCACCCCTGGGCTATGAATGCCACTGGCAGACATCAGGGCTGCAGACATCATAGCTCATGGCTATTTTCTTATCCTCGGGAACTGGCGTTCACCTGTGGGAGAGCCAGGCCTCTGACCACCGGGGAGCTTTCTGCCTCAGCAAGCTGGTCTGTGTGGGCACAGCTGCGGTCCTAAGGAGGCCAGTGGCAGGGAACCACCAGAAGGAAACATATTCCACTTTAAGCTCCCTCCCGATGATTACTAACAGGCCCAGCCAGCTATCCCAGGCTAATAAGGCCAAGGTCATAGTTCCAACCCCCAATGGCTTCTTGCAGAGGCAAACTAGGCTTCCCACTCCCAGACTGACTTGGAGCCCTGGCTGCACACTGGTGCCCAGCCAGACACAGATGCCCCCCCTGATCTCACCAGCCAACTGACCAACACTTGCCTCTGCTGGCTAGGAGAAATACACTCTTCTTTTCACTCTTTCACTCATCCATTTGTTCATTCAGGAAGCCTGAACAGGCACAGTCCTAGGCCCTGGGAGTGTGTGATAAGGCTTCCATTTTAGGCCAGCAATTCTGAACTGGAGGGCAAGGCACCATCCTCTCCCCTGGGTCTGTGGACAACTCATAAACTCAACAGCAGGGTGACTAAAGAAGTCACCCAAGACAAAGCTTCTATTTAGTTCTCATCATCCTTCTGCCAAAACTCAAGTGTTTTGCTGTGTTTTCCCTGAGCCCGGGGAACTGGGGCCATGGCAGCCCCAAGACACACATGAATACTCCTAGCTTTGTGGCCTGAGAAGCCAGGTCCAATTCCTTCACCTGGGAGAAGCTGACAGAGGATGAGAGGAGGCCCTCTCAGCCCCACAGACCAGACACCGCAGCCCTGCAGACGGTCCCCGGGGACACATGTGTACTCTGGGGGAGCCGCGGCGTTACCTGCAGCCAGCGCCACCAGCTCCCTGTGCCTCTGGGCATAGCCTCAAGCCCGTGGCATTTGGCTGCCTGACACCAACCTGCACCAGCCAGGAGAGAAACCAAAAATTGCTGGGAAGTCATCATCATCCACATTCCAAAAACAAAAAGACACTAACTTTTGGTTTCGTAGCCATGGAAAAAAATCTTACTCAACATGATTTTCATGCGTGTGAAGTTATCAAAGATCCAGTGTAGGCTTCACAGGTCGCTTGTGCCTGCTACCTTGTGAAAGAACTGCCACTTCTAAGGAGGAGCACTCCTTTTTAAAAAACAAAATCTTTCCTTAATGTGCTGGGGCACTGAGTCCAAGGAACACTTCTGTGTGCCCAGGCAAACTTGTGGGCAGAAGTGCTTAAGAGGTTAGTGTTAGGTCTTGTCCTCGCTGGAAACGAAAACAAGAACACAAAAACAAAAACTTCTGGCTGAACCAAATCACCTGGGGAACCGTGAGGTGAGAGGTGTAGAGAAAGAACCCATTTTTGCAGGCGGCCCGCATTGGGGTTTGAGAAGAGTGAGGTGCTAGAACCCCACAGGGAGGAGAAAAACAGACCAAAGAGCTGAGAGGGAAGTGGAGGGATGAGCTCTGAGAGCACAAGGGGAACAAGGTCAGCAGGGAGCAAGGCAAGTGCCGACCTTCAGGGCTAGAGAGAAGCTCCAGCCTCAGAAAGGAACCCATCTCGGAAGAAGGGACATCAGGCAACCTAAGCCGTCCAAAAGAATGGCCCCGTTTTGAGCGATAAATTGAACTGTTTTATTGTCTCATAGATCAAGCTACCTAACTGTACATTCAAAAGCCAGTTAGTTGGCTGCAAGAAAATGTTCATTTATTTCCAAAACAGTCTGTGAGAGAAGGGGGTCCTGCCTTTGGATACCTACCTACCTCCCTGAAGCACACTGGGTTGCCTGTGGCTTGGGCGCCACCTAGTGGTTACATAAAACACTTTGTCCCCCTTCCCAGTGAGAGTTGCAACAACACAGAGAAAGATGAAGACCAAAATCACCACCACCTGACGGATGGGGATGGAGAGAATCTAAACTGTCCATCAAGTGGCCGATGGCAGGCACAGGCAGACGTATCCTCACGGAAAATGGTCAAAAATGTCATGTTGGGCTGCCACCAGTATCTGACCCAGGACTCAGAGATAGATACAGTACCAGTCGGGAACTGCAGGAGAAGATCCTTCCATTCTGAGAGCTGTGGTCTACGAGGTGGCCGGAACACACCCTCTGCTCCATTCCCATGCCACAAGGCCTCTGATATTTCTGCCTGTACATCAAAGACGATCCTCTGCATAAACTATCTGAGCAGCTTAAGAAGGGGATTGCATCCTCAGAGAAGCAGTTCCACAGTTAGGGCAGGGGATTCCTGACTGCAGTGCTTCTGGAAGGCTATTTATGTGAATCCCATCAACTCAACTATGTTAAAATCAGAATGGTAGGGAGCATTTAGATGTTGAAGTGAAGTGAGGGTACCCAGAAGTTTGTTGTATAATTATCTACTTTGGTGTGTGCTTGAAATTTTCTATAATGTATAGAAGTTTTCTTGAAAAATGTGTCAGAGAACCTAGAACAAGGGATTGAAGAAAGCAACGACTTCAAGGGTACTGGCCAGATCACAAGGAACTAAGCACATTAACCTGAACTGCAGCTGAAGATCTGTGGACGGACAGGCACCCCACACTGAACAGATCTTGGTAGAGAATGGACAGGAGAGACAGGTGCAGAGTGCCACCAGGACAGGGAAAGAGCACGCCTAAGATTCAGGAGGGCCCACATCTGAATTCTGGGGGGAAAAGGTCTGGGATCCTAAATATCATGCAAGAAGATGTAGCCTTTGTGGACAAAGAAAAACTTCTGGGAGAGGATGGACAAGAGCAAAGAAAAAAAAGGCAAATATAAAAGGAATAATAGAGGGAAAAGAAGCAAAAAAGCCAATAGGGATTTATAAATCACACAAGAAGCAAAACAGGTGAGGAAAGAAAATCAGACTGATGATATGGAAAGCCAAGAACAGTGATAATACGTGCTCAATATTATGTTAAGGTTTATTGAACACCAGACCTTCTGAGAACTTATATTTATTATCTCACTGGATCTCTCCAACAGAGGCTGAGATTAAGAACCCCATTTGATGGGGAGAAGACTTCAGAGATTCCCTCTGTTAAAGAAAACAGAGCCAATAGAGCCAACAGAGATTTCCTCGGTTAAAGAAACAGAGCCAATAGAATTTCAACCTAAGCTGGCCCAGGGCTGGAGTTTTTACTACCTACCCTGCCTTCAGCTGTCCATGGTGCAATATCAAAACTTAAAATCATTCCTCAGTTCAGATATAAGAACTCACTATGTCTCAGACAAAATTAAATGCAGGGCCAGGGATATAGTTCAGCGGCACAAGCGCCTGCCTGGCAAGCACAAGGTCCTGAGTTCAATTCCTGGTACCAAAAAAAAAAAAAAAAAATTCAATGCAAATAATCCTACATCTAGATGGACTGAAGTATAGGTGTTCACTCCCAGGCAATGTCAGACCATGTATATGACAGGGGTCACATAAGATTGTACCACCTAGGGACACAAGTCATCTTGGTGGAAGTGCACTCTCTGATGTTCAAACAGGAAAATCACCTAAACACTTTTCAGAACTTGTTTCAGTCCTTAAGCATCATGTGATTGTAATTTTAACTACAAGAAAAAGGACAAATTCCTACCAGTAGCATCTTGTCAGGAAAAAAAAGAACAAACTACCAACAGAGGGATTAAATCATAATGCTCTCAGTAAATACACCAAAACAAATCAAATGGATTAAATAAACTAACAAGGCTAGCTGAGGAAAAAGAGCAAGAGAACACAAACAATAGAAATAAGAGCAAGGAAAATACCACAGATAGGAAGAATTATTTAAGTTCTAAAAGGCTGCGCTCTACAACATTACGTAAACAAATTAAAAGGTCTCAATGCAATGGATGTTCTTCTAAAACTACATATAAATAATCAAAATCGACTACAGTAAAAGCAACAAACTAAAAATAACCATCATCACAGGAGAAATTGAAAAGTTTTTAAAGAGCTATTACTACACCCACTCAAAAAGGGCACACGGCCCGTATGGTTTTATGGGTGAATTATTTGAAACCCTCAAAAGACTATATTCTTATGTTATATAAACTATTCCAGATGTTAGAGAAGACTTTAAATATTTCCAATTAATTTTACAGAGCCAGCATAATCCAGATACCAAAACCCAAAAAATAACAAGCAGACATACCAATTGAGGATAATAGAAAATCAAGAAACAAGCCTAAGAATACATTTAGGAATTTAGTAGAGATAAAGATGGCATTTCAAAATATAGAGGAAAAAAGTGTTCACCCTTCAATGACAGTATCGCCAAAGAACAATTTTGAAGAAAGTAATATTAGCTCCCTGCTTTATTCACAAAGGGAAAGATTTACAGATTTAATTACAAAAAAATTTAATTTCTATAGGTCAAAACTATTAATTGATAAAATAAGATTGACAACAAGTATTCACCACAGATATAACAGTGGAATAGTTAGCATCAATGCACAAATAGAACTCTTAGAAAAACAAGAGGTCACTCATGTAGAGCTCTATTTATTTTCTTTAGAAGCCACTTTGAAGATACCAAAGTATAGTACAACAACTATTGATAATCTCCTACCTCTTTTGTCTGTAACTCACTATTACTTGTCTATTTGTTTTCCTGAGAAACTATCTTGTAGATAACAATATGTAAAACAATAACCATTGATAATTTCCTACCACTTTGTAATTTGGTAAGCCCCCCTATTACTATGTTATCCTTCTTTTACTTTTTAAAATAAAAAAAAGAAAGAAAAGCAACAAGAAATAGACAAACATAATATCAAAAATAAGGCCCAGCATACGAATTTGTAATAGAATAATTATATAATTATATTATCTAAATTGAAATATCTTAAATTTTACATCGATCCATTTCACTAACACAACAACATACCATTTTCTCCATCAAATTAAGAAGGTTCTTTTCTGACATCATTTTACCTTGCATTAATGAGAGTGCAGCAAAAAAACTTATGAACCTGATTGGAGCATAAATTAGTCCAGATTTTTTTTTTTTAAGACAGGGTCTCACTATGCAGTTCAAGCTGGCCCTGAACTCACTTTGTAGCCCAGGTTGGCCTCGAACTCGCAATGATCCTCCTGTCTCCGAAATTCTGGGATTACAAGCATGTACCACCACTCTTGGCTAGTCCAGACTTTCTGAACAGCAACGTTGATACAGACAGAAAGCCTTAAAAATGTTGAAATCCTTTGACACAGCAAGTCCACTTCTAGGCATTAATCAAAAGAGAACTCACAAATTGTGTAAATATTCAGCTACAAAAATGGTCATTGCAAAGTTATTTATAATACAGAAAACTAGGAAACCCCTAAAAGTTTCATATTGACTACTTCATTTGGATTATGGTATATTCACACACTGAAATGTTTATTCACTTAAAAGGTGAAAAAATTTACATGATTTAAAGAGGAACTAGAGCATGTGTTTATTCACTTAAAATCATACTGTACATGAAAAGACATTTATGCTGTATCATCAAGTGACAAAAAGCATATTTCAACACAATTTTAATGTATTTATGTATGTGTGCACACATGTATACACACACATACAGAAAGGTCTAGAATAAAATAGCTCTTGTCTTGAGTAGTGGACTTATGGGTAATTTCATGGGTAAATTTTATATTCTTTCAGATTCTCTACTTAAAATTTTATAGAACGGCAATGAATCACTTTTAGCGGATGAATAAAAATAATTGCAGAATAGAAATTGCTGAAATGCAGTTGGTCAACATGAAATCTAGTGGATGGCATGACCAAGGCCACCGATATTACCTGCAAGAATCAAGCAAGCTCCTTGTACCATTCATTGGTGCATCCACTGTGCACATGGGGAGCATCCTAAATGTTTGAAGTCACTTCTCTCACTAGCCACAGCCTCTCTCCATGAAAAGCGAGTAACAAAGACCTTAAAAATCTCTTTTCTAGCCAGGCATGGTGGCACACGCCTGCAATCCCAGCACTTGGGAGGCTGAAGCAGGAGGATTGCCACAAGTTCAAGGCCAGCCTGGGCTACAAAGTGAGACCCTGTCTAAAAAAAACAAAACAAAACAAAAACAAAAACTTCCTTTTTCTGCAAACCCTCAAAACTAGAGGTGTGTGATAGAGGTGAGACAGAAAATAGCATGAGGTCCAGAGGACAGGACCCAGGGGGAACATACCTTCTATTTCTCCTCCAGAGGCAGAGATCTTCGACATGCTCAGGTAGGAAGTGGCCACGATGTCATTGTGAGTGAGGCGGTCCCTAGAACAAGGGGCAGAGAGGACTTGAACACAGGAAGAGGCCACACAGCCAACCCAGGAAGGCCTCCGTTACACATCATGGGGGGCATCAAAGGAGCCAGTCCATCTCTCCAGCCGTCAGCACCTCACCACCCACAGACAGTGGGCCCCCAGCCTGCGTCTCAGCAAGCAAGTTGCAGGCTGACAGGCAGGAAGCCAGAGGCAGGCAGGATGGGGAGCAGGAGGCTGCTCAGGGGCCCCATTCCCAGACCCAGAGACAGCTGACATTTTAGGAGCTAAAGAAATAAATATTGATATCAAGAAGGGGGACAAGCGTGCAGGAAAAAAAAGAGAAAAAACACCTCCAAGGCCACATTTCTTTTTAAATATTCTTTATTTTTATTGGTCTCTGTGTGCAGTACATAATGATTGCATTCACTGTGGGGAGCCAGGGGCTGAGGATATAGCTTAGCGGCACAGTGCCTGCCTGGCAAGCGCAAGGTCGTGAGTTCAATTCCCGGTACCAGAAAAAAACAAAAAACAAACAAACAAACAAACAAACAAACATTGTGGGGAGCTGGCACGTGCACATAACACATCTGAATTCTTTTTTACTCACTTTTCCCTCTCCTCCCTCCCTCATCCCTCCACCTCTTGATCCCCTTCCCATTTGCAAAAGAGCTATCTCTTTGTTCCCTATTATCTATCTTTTCTTTTGCTCTTTACATTTTTTATACCTTGAGTTTCTCATGTAAGAGAGACCATGTGATACTTAAGTTTCTGTGTTTCTTATTTCACTTAAATTATGGTTGCAAGATGCATCTGTTTTCCTACAAACGACTCAAATTTATCCTTCTTTATGGCAGGGTAGTACTCCACTCTATATAAATACCACATTTTGTTTATCCATGCTTCTATTGATGGACATATAGGCTACTTCCAAGATTTAGCTATTATGAGCTGTGCTGCTATAGACATGCACAAGCATATATCACTGAAATATGATGCTTTAATTCTTTTGGGAAGGCACCTAGAAAGGGGATAGCTAGGTAGATGGAATTTTAGTTTTAGTTTTTTGAAGAATCTCCATCCTGATTTCCATAGCAGTTGTAGTAGTTTACATTCCCACCAACAGTGTAGAAGGCTTCCTTTATCCCCACAGCCTCATCAGCATTTATTATTTGATTCTTGATGATGGCCATTCTTTCTGGAGTAAGATGGAAGCTCAGTGTTTTAATTTGCATTTCTCTGATGACCAGAGATGTTGAACATTTTTTTCATGTATTTTTTGGCCAGTTGTACTTATTCTTCTGAGAAGTGTCTATTCATTTCAGTTGCCCATTTTTTGACTGGGCCTTTTATTTTGGAAGGACTAGTTTTTCAGTTCTTTACATATTCTAGATATTAGTCCTCTGTCCAAGGAGTAGCTGACAAAAGTTTTTCCCCTCTCTGTAAGTTATCTCTTCACTCAGTTGTTTCCTTTGCTATGCAAAAGCTCTTTAAAGCTCTGATCCCACTTGTTGATTCTTGATGTTATTTCTTGGACAACTGGGGTTCTGTTCAAAAACACCTTACCTAGCCGGGTGTGGTGGCACACACCTGTAATCCCAGCACTCGGGAGGCTGTGGCAGGAGGATCGTTGCGAGTTCAAGGCCAGCCTGGGCTATAAAGTGAGCTCAAGGCCAGCCTGAACTGCATAGCGAGACCCTGTCTCAAAAAAAGAAAAAAAAAAAAAAAACCCCACCTTGCCTATGCCTATGTCTTCAAGAGTTTTACTTATTTCATCTTCCAGCAGATTATATATTTCTATTTTTAATATTTAGGGCTTTGATCCATTTTGATTTTATTCTAGTACATGGTGAGAAGGGCGGACTTGGTCCGATCTTCTCAGCACCATTTGTTAAAGAAAGGGGCTGTGTTCCTTCCAGCACATGTTTTGGCTCCTCAATTAGTAAAATTAGCTAATGCTAATGGGTGGCTCCTTACTGTATGTGACTTTATAGTGAGAAGTACTTTTAATCTTTACCTTGCAAAAGCTTCACAACAGCCTTAAAAAGCAAATACTTTTATTATAATCTCTATCGTACCCACAAAGATATAGGCTCAGAGCTGTGCAGGTACCGCCTCAAGTTCAACCAGAAGGGGCAGAGCAGAGCCAGGACTTGTCCTGATTCCCAGTCTGGTGCTCAGACCACAGCACCGGCTTCTCGCCTCCCTAAGCAGCATAGGGAACTATCAGTAGAGCCCCAGGACTAGTTATCTCATTAGCCAACAATATCCTGCGCAGACCTCCCTCGGAACCCCTTGATAATAATCACATAGCTGACCTTTACTCAGCACCTACTAAGTCAAGCACTGCTGTTCAAATGTCCTGTGAGTGAGCTCACTTACTCCTCCTACCAACCCCACCTGGCAGGTACAACACTCAGCCACCATTTCAGATGAAGAGGCTATGGTAAAGAAGGTTAAATTATTTGCAAAGATGGCAAAAGTGCAATCTGAGGCAAGATACGCCTGGCATAGAATGCAGAGCTTTGGTGGCAACCACCTGCTGCTTCACTGAGGTTTTCAACCTGGTGGCTGTGATCCCCACAGAACATTTGGCTGTCGGGGCTGGGGATTTAGCTCAGCGGCAAAGCACCTGCCTGGCAAGCGCAAGGTCATGAGTTTGGTTCCCGGTACCGGAGAAAAACCAAAAAAAGACCAAAAAAAAAGAACATTTGGCTGTGTCTGGTGTGAAAAGATGCTACAGAATCTAGTGGCTGGAGGCCAAGCATGCCTCCAAACAGCCTATGATGCCCAGGGCAGCCCCCACGACAAAGGACTAGCCAGTCCCGAATGTGCTGAGGTTAAGAAACACTAGCTGGGCAAGACCTATCACCCGCAGGTAGTGTCCGTAGTGTACTTTCAAGGCCTCTTCTTAGTGGCCCGGTCTCTCTGCTTAGGAAGATGATCACCCTTTGATTTGAAGGTTTCCCAGCAGGGCAGGGGCTGCATGCGGAAGAGTGAGCTATCAGCCTACACACTCGTCACAGTGCCTGGGGAGGGATGTTAGTGAGAACTGGGAAACGCAGCCTTGCTGGAGATTATCCACCCCATACCTGACTGCGGGGGTTTGGGGATGGGCGTCAAACTGCCTTCATGCCCGAGCCTAGAAGAGGAAGAGGCCTTGGCCTTCTGCCCTCAGGCCTCCTCTAAGTCAAAAGAGTAAGAAAGAGTAATCTAGGGGAGAGGCTGTTTTTATAAAGGTCGGAGATGACTTTGGAGACTCTTGTTTTTTAATGAAAAGGGAATTTTTTTTTTTTAAAGAATTAAAAGGCAGATTAAGGTACAGAGAAAAAGCCATATGGACTAGATCATCTTCCCAGGATTCAGGTAATAGCAAAAGTGTATCTGTGTTTTCTGGGAAGAAAGCACTTTTCGGGATAGGAACTTGTAGCAGAAGAATGCTTTCTGGCTAAGAGTTGGGTTTTGGGGCTTGGGGTTGCTTTTGGAAAATACAGCAAGTCTGAAAATAGACTCACAATAAAAATGCCACTTCAACCCAAACCAGAGACGCAACCACCAGATTTGGTAATGTGTTTGGATTGTACAGTATGCTGATGCCTTTGACACAGCTCAGCCGGACTCGAGCCAGGCACATCCGCAGCACATGGGACAACCGCGCACACACGCGTCCACAGGCACACACACGCAGAGGCACGCACTGCCAGCCACCCCTGTCAACACGGCGTGCACTCGTCACCAGCCGAAATGCAGAGATCGCTCTGGGGGCGTAAAGTGCATCTCCTCTAAACCGCTTCCCCACGGCACATACCATGGTCATGGCCCTTGAGCTCCCCCTGCACAGCCCCACCATCCCAACCCCGGCTGCTCCCTTCCCTCTAATTCTCACAAGCTGTTTTCTTTAGGCCTGGGGAACTGGCACACACTTTAATGGCTCTGTGGCCTGGGGGTTTTTCCTTAGTCTCTCATTATCCTCCTGGCTGGGGGTGCCATGGGCCTGGAACCAAAGAAGAACATGCCGGGGAACCGCACAGCCAAGACTTTTGGGGGCAGAGAAAGGACAACTCTCTCCTTTTGGAAAGTCTGGTGTCCTGGAGTTCACACGTGTGGGTCCCTAATGTTCCTTCAACTGGGAGAGCGATCACCTCCATGTAGCAGGAGGCGACTGGCCCAGTGATTAAAGATCTGGGATTGTGTCAGGCCTCCACTACTTCCCAGCTGCCACCTGGGGCAGGTCACTCAGTCTTTCCCGGTCTCCTGACTTCTGTCTCCTCTGTGGGGGAGAGCATGCCACTGAGTCAAGGGTCAGATGAATCACGTAAAGGGCTTGCTGGGCACCAGGCCTAGCACATAGTAGGTGCTTAACACGTGGACCATTATCCTCCCCTGCTGCAGTGACTCCTACTTAGGCAGCGCACCAGCTTCCCCAGCTTGGGAACCAGCATTCTACCCCATAGGGTGTCAGGACCCCAGAAGCTCTGCTCTCTCAGCCTCCATGCCTTTGCTCATGGCCCTCTCCTCCAGAGAATGCCCTTACAGTGCCCTGCACCTCCTGCCAGGGTGCCACCTGCGCCACCTTCTCCAGGGAGCGTCCCTAACCCCTCAGGCCCTCGAGATGGCCTCCTCCCAGCCCTACCCGGCTGTGCTTTCCTTTCCTTATCTGCCGTCAGACAGCCGTCTCACCTCCTGGCCAGCTGGCCTTAAGCAAGCTTCCAGACCTGCCCACACCCTCTCCTGCCTTCTGGGAAGCATCCTCTCCCACCATGCACCACTCAAGCTGAATCAGACTGAAAAACTATCCAACATTCCAGGAAGGTCCTCCCTACCATCTCTGACACTCGGGACTCACCAGTCTATGACGCGGATCCTCATTTTTTCACACATGGAGGGAAACTGAGGAGGGAAAAAGAGCAGGGTTGAGAACAACACCCCCACCTCCACGTGCAAGTCCAGCATGCTGGGGAGGGAGGCACCCTGGGCCCCCTGATGCCGGAGCACAGGGGCCTCCTGGGTGGGCTGGCAGGTGCGGGGCTGAGGCTCACCATGGCAGGCAGCATGACTCTCTGATTCCACTGAGGGTTGGCTGTCTTCTCCAGGATCTTGCTGCAGAGCTAGAGAACACAGGGCAGGGGCATAGGCACCATGGTGACTCTGGGCTCCCTCGGAAGCAGCATACTAGCTAACGGCCATTCTCTGCCAGGCTGGCTGCCCTGAGGGCCGGGCCTATGACCCTGGGTTCTTACAGCAATACACTCAGACACAAGGCATCTTAGCAGAAACAAAGCTCAACGGAAAGACATACCTAGATCTGGGGTGAAGGGTGCTGTCTGAATGCCATAGTCCTTCCAAAATCTCTCTCAGCCTCTCATTATGGCAAGAACCCTAAATGTGGGATCCCTGAATCCAGACTGGCTTTTCTAGAGGCATTCCCCTTTGCCCATCAGCTCAGACTACCTCCATTTAGAAAGACTGTGAGCCCTGCAAGATCAGAGGTGGAGGGGGAAGGGAGAGCCCGTGCATCTGCATCTGAGAGTTTAACAAAATACCATGAAGACACAAACCCTAGAAGACACAGACCAGCCCTTCCCTAAAGCCTGGGCTTGTCACAAACAAGAAACCTAGCAAGACTGCAAATAGACCCAGCCCAACAGTCCATGCGCCAACTCTGCCCTTGGAGTCCAGGGAGCGCACCTCAGGGCATCCTGTCCTATACATGGGGATTGCAGGAAAAACGCAGCTCCAGATACACAGATCCTTATGGGCTGTGTGCTCTGCCCATAAAAATAATGAACCGACGCCTTTTCTGAAGCATTTCCTAAAGGCCCTGTATCACACTAAGCATGGAATTTTATGTGCATTGTCTCATCTAATAAGTGTCTGAGTTAGATCACAGACTTCAGGTCCCCTGGGGAGAAGGCTTCGTCTCCATCCCATCCACCCAGTGCCAACCCCCTTATAAGAAGAACTCAGGCAGAGGCTACATGGGGCTAGAGGCAGGGATGGGCGCCAGGATTAAGGCCCTGTGTTAGCAAAGACAATAAGCAGTAAGAAAACAGGACAATCCATGGAACAGACAGCTCACAGGAATGGAGACACGAAGGGTGGTAAGGCATATAAACAGACACTCAACCTCACTCACAGTAAAAGAACCACAAATAAAACTAATGAGATACCATTTCCCATCCATCAGATTCGTAAAAGCTCTACAGTCTAACAACTCACTATTGGTAAGACCATGGAAAAACCACACTCTTATATTTCACTGGTGGAAAGTTGAAATATTTTGACACCTGTAGGAGGTAACTGGCTGTTACTTCTCAAGTGTATATTCCTTTTGACCTAGAAATTCCCCCTCTAGACATTTGCCCCTTCCAAAATAACCTGCATATGTGCTAAATGAAGTTATTCATTGCATTATATAAAGTTATTCATTTCATTATATTTTGAACTAGCAAAGATCTGGAACAACTCCACTTTCACTCATAGAGGGCAAGCTAAATAAATTATGGTACATCCACATAATGGAATACTATGCAACTATAAAAAATGAATAAGGACAGCACTAGGCATCAGTATGAAGCAACCTCCAATTTAAATTACTAAGTGGAAAAAGCTAGCTGCAGAGAAGTGTGTATAATGTGTGACCATTTTTATTGAAAAGGTAAAAGATAAAACTCCATAGCCACATTTGCTTGCATATGCACAATGAAATCAGAATAAAATAAAAGAAACTAACTGCAGTGGTTTCTTTTGCAAAGGAAGAAATGAGCAGGTAGATTGTTGGATGGGTCCAAGGCAAGACGGTGATAATGGATAATAAATAGATACATAGACAGAAGAAATACATATCATGGTTAGACGTATTAGCTAATTCAAAAATGGGTAAAAATCTAAAAAAAAAGAAAGAGAGAAGGGATTCTTTAGCTACACATAGCTGAGAGATCACCCAACACCGTGCTTCCTGCGCACAGGTCCCAGGGAGTATGGGCGTCTCCCACAATGAGCGCTTTAGCCTGGTGGTCCCGGGGCCAGACAAATAGCAGGTCTATCTTCCACAGCCCAGTCCAGCACTGCTTCCAGCGCTAGAAGCCCCTGGCAACCTCTCCACATCCCACTCTGCCCCCCACACTCAGCCAGGCAGCACCGTGCTTCCTCCTTCTCCTCCTACTCTTTCTCTTCTTCCTCTTCCTCCTCCTCCTTCCTCTTCCTCTTCTCTCTCTCTCTCTCTCTCTCTCTCTGTCTCTCTCTCTCTCTCTCTCTCTCTCTCTCTCTTTCTCTCTCTCTCCACTTCTTTCTTTACCCTCCTTCACTTTCTGATGAAATGTAATTAGCAATGCCTTTCTGGGACACCATTTGACCACCTGTGTCGGATACTTAAAAATAACTATGCCCTCTGACCTGGTATTCCCCGGCCTAGAAACTTCCCTGTGGAAGGACAGTCAAAGTGTGGACAGAGATCCATAAAGATCTGTATGCTGCTTGTTGCAGATTTGTTTATAAAAGAGAAAAATAGAAATTATATATATAATATACATTACATACATAATAAGTTCAATGTTATATATATACATATATCTTCATCTAATAGACTATTGTAGAGCCATCAAATTTTCCGAAGACTATTTCATAACCTGAGGAACGATCAGATGCTAAAAGCAGTTTTCCATACTGCGTGTATACAGTTGTCTCTCATTACTCATAAATCTATGAAATCAGGGGCTGGGGATTTAGCTCAGCGGCAAAAGCGCCTGCCTGGCAAGCGCAAGGTCGTGAGTTCGGTTCCCGGCACCGGAGAAAAACCAAAAAATAAAAAATAAATAAATCTATGAAATCACCATGAGCACTGACCAAGGGGGTATTGAATTATTACCTCTAAAGGAAATGGTTCCACTACGGCCAGCCTCTGTCACATTTTTTGTCACTTGATCAACACAGCTTTGTTTTGGGTGCGTGTCTTGAAGAACACCGTACTGAACACACGCTGCTAACTCATTAAGACTGAACTCACAGCCACCGAAGAGTGGGCGGTGCGGGATGAGGCTCAGCTAACACCTGTTTTCTCTGTCGGCACGGCACAGCCTTCCCGCTCTCAGGAGCACGAGACAGCGCTTCGGCACTATCCCGGGGGGCCACGTGGAACAGTGAAATCACCGACAAAAGTCACAAAAATGCAAATTAAGTGCCACTAAGTAAAACAAGAATATGACACAGTTACAGTGTGAGACGTGAGACGAGCAGGGAAGCGTCACCTTGTTCTACCAGGTGGCTGGGCGGGGGCGGAGGGAGTGAGAGTCAAAAGGAGAAAACATAGGAGAAGGGAAGCCGTGCAAACGCTAACTCAACAGCAGTCACCTCTAGGAGAGTGAAGGCCACAGGACTATGGGGCGGGGTGTCTTCCTTTTCTCTGATTTCTTCAATTTTTTTAACAGTTAGTGGATATTATTATTACATGCAGAAAAGAAGTTTTAAAACCTCCTGCCCTGCCCTACAAGTTACCCATCCCTTTCTGTTACCCATCCTTTTCTGTCACCCATCCATGAAGCCAACGCTCACACAGACACACACACTCAGGGTCACACACCGAGATACACACACATAAACACACACAGTCACACAGACGCAGACACATTCCTTCCCAGCTGAGTAATTTGGCCAAACCTGGTATGGTTCACAGCTTGCATAACAGTGCCACCAAGTGTCCATAACAGGAAATGCACAGATAGCTAGCCAGAGACGAGCGGACACACAGAGGACTCTTCTGATTAGGATGTGAAAAGTGACACAAAAGCAGAATGAGGCACAGAATAAGAACAGTAGAGTGGCAGGAGGCCACAAGAGATGGCTCAGGGCAGAGAGGAGAGGTCACAAAGGTCCGAAGACCACAAAGGAGACTGAGCAGGTTAAACCTGTCAAAAGGAAGTGTCCCCTGCCCCCCACCATCAGCTCATTCCTCAGCTCCTGCAACCCTTTGAGAGGGACCACAGCAGTGTCACTTCTTGCTTAAGCTCAGCTGCCATCAGCTTTATCTAGTCTCTTGTCCCTGCCGGGACCTGCATCATCTCTCCTACATATCCGTACCTTGCTAGAAAAATCCCCAGGGACAAGCAAGGGCATCTCAGAACCTAAGGACCCAGGGCCAGCAGGAACCCCAGAGCTCTGACACTCAGCTCCAAGAAAGCAGGGAGTTTTAAGGCAAGTCCGTCTCAGGCCTGGTCACCCTAAAAGCACCCTACTATTCTGGGGACATGGGGTAAAAACAATTTTCCCAATTGACATGACCCTCCCCAAGTGGAAAAGCTGATCTTAGACCTTAGAGCACAGACTGTCCAACCACACTTCCTGCTTCTTTCCTGCCTTCAGGGCTCTGTCCTAGCCCCTCCTGAAGCCAGGTACAGGGTGTCAGACCAAGCCCAAACCAAACCTGCTCCAAGGCAAGAACCTTCAAGGAGCATTTACACTTCAGTGTGAGTGACCTTAATATGTGGTCTACCCTGCAGAGCTTGTGCTAGGCGCTGGGGAGGGAGGAGCCACTTAGAAGAGGCTCCAGAGGGCCACTTCAAGACAATGCATATAGGCCGGGGATATAGCTCAGCGGCACAGTGCCTTGCTTGGCAAGCATAAGGTCCTGGGTTCGATTCCCGGTACCAAAAAAAAAAAAAAGGTAATGCATATATCAAATGCGACAATGACTGATTCCAACACACTGAATTAATAAAAATTATTGAAGGCCATGTAATATTCAAAGAGGTGGAAGAAACAAAGCTCTTCTTTACAGAAAAAATGCCAGCTCATAAAGAGAGATGAAATGATAATAAGAAAATTACCACTATGCGACCACAAGTAAATGATTTATGGAGGCAAAGAGGTCAATGAATGTTTACAACATGAGGTCAGAAGTTGTGAAGAAGTAGCTCTGTTGCTAAGGAGCAGAACTACATAGCGGAGACCCTGTCTCAAAGTAAACAAACAAAAAAGAAGTAGCTCTTCCATCCCCAGAATCAAGATGGTGCCACAGATTATCTGCCAATTACAAGGAAAACCATCTACTTTTACAAGGGGACGATCTGCAGCCGGAGGCGATCTGGAGTCACCACCACCTTCTGCAAGGGATCAGACGGTCCTCACTGATGCTGGGACACCTGGCGCTGCTGCTTCTATTGTGCAGCATGATGCACAAGGTATCACCCGTGATGAGTTCTGGGTAAAATACTTAATCTGAGCCTAACTGAATCTGTAGGCCTAACTTCCCATGACAAACACAGCAGCCAGAGGAGCAAATTAAACAACGCCAGAAGGAAACAAGCAGAGAAATCCAGAACAAATGGCTGGGGCTTTCCAAAAAATCAATGTCATGAGGTAAGAAAAACAGGAAGAGATGGCAGTAGCTCTAGAGACACAGGGAAGGGCTGTGTTTTGGGGCCATGTTCAAAGTCAGAGAACTAGAGATGAGTTGCTTGGTGTGGAAAGAAAAAAGGACAAATTAAAACAGGCCCATATGTTCTACCATTGCTGGTGGAACTGGGTTAAGGTGGGGGCTCTTAGAAGTGAGGTTGCTGGAGGCAGAGAAACCGACTCCTCTGTGACCTTTAATCCTGATGTGTCAACTTGAATGGTTTACAAATGCTCATTTAGCAGGGCTCACTTTTGGGTATGTCTGGGTAGGCAAGTGGAAGCATGGCTTTGTGTACTGCACATGCTCCCTAGGCCTTCCTCTCCAGCACTGTTCCCTTGCTCTATTTTCTGAATACCATGAGCTCAGCAGATTTACTCTGTGACATCCGTGCCTTGGAGTTAGCCAGTCATGCATTGAACCCTCTAAAACCACGAACAAAAAAAATTCTGTCCTTTAAATTATGAACATTGGGTATTGTGTCCTAGCAATGGGAAAGCTGACATACAACCTCTAAATGCTCACAGGGACATCAGGCAGAGTTGTTCAGTGGCTTGGAGAAGCCTGAGCTCGAAGCCAGGATCAGAGCTAAAGAGAGCTGGGAGAGTCCCCTGCAGAGAGGTGACAGCTGAAGCCTGGGACAGGCTGAAGAATTCGGCACACAGAGCCTAGGAGGCACCAGTCCATATGGAGAGAGCTGCTACGTTAGAAGTCACAAGGACAAGAGTGACAGGCCCACACCTGGGCAGGAAGGTGGCCGAAAGAAAGAGGTGACACATTGGTGATCCCTAGAGCACCCATCAGAGTGGTCTCTGTCTAACTCCTGCCACCACTGTTTAAAAGTAATCATTGGGTTTTTGTCACACATTTTTAAAAAGAGGTTTCCTATCTTTATGCCTTCACGTCTGGTTTCCAGGCTATTCCTTACTCTTCCTGTAACTATTCCTCTATGCATCCACTCTCCATCTGTCCTCTCTGGGTCCATCCACACCATTTCTCTATATGGACACCCAGGCAGACCTGTCCACATTCAGGTGCATAGCAGCCCCAGAGAGCCAAGCCTGCATTCATACATGGGATCAGCCCTTCCAAGTTCACACACTCAGCCAGGGGACCTGTACACCCCGGCACCTGTGCAAGGTCACCCAGCCATCACCCTCCCACAGAGCCCTCCTGCTCCCTTGCTGCTTACCATCTTCCCTGCAAAGCTGACCTCCACGAAGGGGTCCACCAGGTTCTTCTTGTTACTGTCGAAGCCGAAGATCTGCTTCACGTTGTCCATCACAGCATCATCCACTGGGGAGAAGGACACACGAGTCACTGCCACCTGCTGTCCCACCAAACCCTCACACTCCTTGTCACCAGGCTGCAATGAGGCTATGTCGCGCCCTCAGGACTGAGGCCAGGTGCTACTGGGAGGAAGGACTCTGAGAGGCACCACCTCTAAGCACCCTGGGCTGCACCCTCATCCTGTCCCAGCAGCCAGGTCTCTGTCCCTCGGCACCAAGCAGCTTCAGAGCAGCTCTGCCAGACGCTGGCTGTGTACTGATGAGAGGTCTACATCACCAAGGGCAACAAACCTTGCAATCAAGCACTGGAGGGTTTTGGTTTTTTGTTTGTTTGTTTTTGAGACTGGGTCTCTCTATGTTCAGCTGACTTTGTAGCCCAGGCTGCTCTCGAACTCACAACGATCCTTCTGCCTCAGCCTCCCAAGTGCTAGTGTTACTGGCATGTGCCACCATGCGGGGCCTCTACTGTTTTTATTTATATTTAAATAACACTGTAGAGAATTCAACCCAAATTTCCTTCACCTTAAAAAAGCAAGCATAGGGCTGGGGATATAGTTCAATGGCACAAGCACCTGCCTGGCAAGCACAACATCCTGAGTTCAATTCCTGGTACAAAAAAAAAAGCACTTCTATCTCCCCACACCCCTCTGGAAACTCACCAGCTTCACATCTACATAGCTGCAACCAATGAATGCGGATGTTTTTGAACATGTATTTTACTATCCACTTAATTCTCATTAGTTATTTAAAGACTTTCCCCTGTGAATCTGGTCCAAGTAAACTTGTATAGAAGGAATTTATTTCCTTTATATAGTGATGTCACTATCAAAGCAGAAACCCTCAAACAGCTTTATGCAAAAAACTTGGATCCCTTGTAAATAGGGATCCAAGTTGCAAATGTTTTCACTGACTGCTGGGAATAGTGACTGGTCTGATTATGCTAATGTGTGCTCTAAAACAGTGGCTTGCAGCAGGTTGCCAGGGAAGCCTTTAAACACTAGGAATGAATGAGCCCTTTTCCAACCGAGGAGTGATAGCCCAGCTGACGCTCATGGCTCTAGACTATTCAGTATAACTCCCCTAGCAACGTATCCTAAACACACAGAGTGAGGCCAATACCATGTCAGCCATAATGAGCACCCACTGAATAACCACACTGGCCTTCCTAGGAGGATGAGAAGATAGTCACAAGTCAGGTGACCCAGTTTTCAGGGAACAGAATAGTTTCCTGGGGCATGGGACTTTTCTGGGGCCAGGCGGACCCAGCCCAAGGAGGGTGGGGGGCCACCTGGTGGAGGAGCATTCTTCATCTGGAAGACAAGGGTCCCAGGAGTCCTTTGTGCAAACTTTCCTGGAAACAGAGCAGCTGCTCTCCACCCAAGATTTGAGAAGCCAGGCTTCCTCACAGAGGCAGGCAACCAAGAGCTCCACCCTGAGAGCAGGGCAGTATCCAGATGGTGCAGCCTCCTCAGTGAAAACCATGGAAATGGATCCACAGAGTGGCTAAGAAGCCAGACCAGGTGTAGGGACACTGGCATGGAGCCCAGGGTCTGCTATCACTCTCAAGATGCATGGATCTTCCAACTCCACCAGCATGTACTACTTTCCATTAAATCCTGATCATTGGGATATTGTTCAGTGAAGCCTGGATACAATCTGCAGCACAAGGTGTGGGCGGGGGGAGTTAGAAAGGATTTGAGACATCAACCAGACAACACAGGGAAGGGAGAACTGGCCAGCACTTATCTCTAGTAAATCTTCAAAGAGAAAGCCAGTCCAGGGAGAGACAGGAGGACAGCAGAGGGGCAACCCCTGGACACAGAGAAGCCTTTTCCTCTGTTATGGTTTGTGTCTGGATGTCCCCCCAAAGCCTCATGCAGTCATAGGACAGGCTTCTAGAGTTTATGATTGATTCATGGTCCAATGCTGGGATTATGGATGTGAGTGATGCATTGCCATGGGGCGGGCAGTTTGCATACAATGTGAGGGAGGGAAAGAGGTTTCCTTGCAGCTCCTCCCTTTCGCTCTAGCTACTTTGCTGTCTTCCACCTCCATGAACATTTGCCCTCTGCCATGTGCCACTCTGCCTTGGAGCCAGCCGAGTATGGACTGAAACCTCCACAAACTGTGAGCTAAATAAACCTTTCCTTCCTTAATTTTGGGCATTGGGCATTTTGTCTCAGCAATGAGAGAAAAGTAACCAAGACATCCTCTCCCAGAAAGCCAAGCTCACCATGGAGCTCACCACAGCCCTGCCCAGGGTCACCCTCCCAACAACCTGGCCAGAGCTTTGGCAGCCCCCCCTCACCCAAAGAGGGCACCTCACTCACTCTGAGGCAAGTCCTCAGCCCTGAAGACCGTCAGGCAGAAGTGGGCTCCTCGAAGGGCCACACCTGTTGGCCTGAGCAGGTTGCCTTCAATGTCCTCCTTGTCTTCAGAGGGGTCCTTTCTCTCCAGCTACAAAGCAAAAAAAAAAAAAAAAATAGGATTCCTGCATGTGCTCATGATTGCCATCGTTTACCTTTCTTTTCTGAGCACTCCACCCACCATGCTTCCATGCTACATCACATTCCTCTCCCACAAGTTCAGCCCGTCTCTTCTCAAACACACAAGATGCTGACAGCTCCGAGCTCTGAACACTTTTCTCATTCTTTTTTTTTTCCTTGTTTGAGACAGGGTCTCACTATGCAGTTCAGGCCAGCCATGAGCTCACTTTGTAGCCCAGGCTGGTCTCAAACTCACAATGATCCTCCTGCCTCAGCCTCCCAAGTGCTGGGATTACAGGCCTGTACCACCACCCAGCTACTTCTCTCATTCTTATCATCTCCAATTTGTAGCTTATATACTGACAAGTGAAGGTGATAATGATATATTCTTAGGTAATAAATGTAAATCAGTTATAACCAGGTTACAATACAAATATATTTGTACCCACAGGCACTATGCAAAGTGCCATGGCAATGACCCAGGAGAAGGTACTCACAGGTGCTTCGTCTCCAGGTCCCAGTACGCACAGGCTGGCTTTCAGGTAGCCTCTGGCCCCAGCAGAGAAATCATCAGGGTCAGAGAGCAGCAGCCACTTCCTGAGATAAGCGTGCCCTAAAAGCAACAGAGTGCGTCGGCGATCTCAGGATGGGAAAACCCAAGATTGCAACCACATCCAGGAAACCAGAATGGACCGTACAGGATGAGATAAAGGACCAGGCCACTGGAAGGAGGGGGCAAGAACCCTAGAATGAATGCAGTGGTGAAACCCAATCAAAGGTCTCCTTAGGATGCCACAGTCACTTAATAAGGTCATTTTCCTAAGGAGGTAGAAACCTAGCCACCCATAAATCAAGCCACACTCCATAACTGGTAATTAAATAAACACCTCAAAGTTTTTTTAAAAAAATCTATTGTCACAATGTACTTTGTGTGTTTATGTGGGTCAGAGCAGGAAATATTAACGGAAATCTCTACAAGAGGCTGTGAAATCTCTACAAGAGGCTGTGTATTTTCCACTTTTTTGGGAAGTGACCAGTCCAGGTGGAACCTGGGTGAAGTAAAATCTTGGATTCATTACAAAAACATTCTGCCCCTGCCCAAGGTAAACCCAGGTCCCAGTATCCCGCCATAGGACCTTTCCAGATGTATCATCTCCGAGGCCTCCTGAGACACAGGTGAAGTTTTGAAGGCCTGCTTTGCTTGGCTGCCTCCTCCTGCAGGAACGAGCCCACCTCTAAATTCTAACCCCCCAGGGAGGAAGATGAAGCCCCAAGCAGATGTCCCAAAGCAGTCTCAAGATCCAAAAGGCAAGGATATGGCGAAGGGGTGGGAACTCACGGGGTTCTCCGTAAATGGTGCCCACGTCCATCTGAAATCAGACAGGAAAACACCAATCAAACTCTTGCCACTGACGTGTTAACGCATGGTCCACTGCCTGAGCCCCTGAAAAGTCTCGCTCGTGAAAAAATCATTTGGGGACACAAGGAGCCTTTCATCGTTTGATACTGCATGGAAAGGAAGCACGCTGCCTTTTGGTACACAGTTTGGGAAAGTATGTTTATGCACAAAAAAAGAGGGAAAGAAATCCAACAAAAATGGTGACTACGCTCTTTGGGTGGCAGATTGGAGTGCTTTTAATATTTTCTTTACTGTATATTATAATTTTCTATAAAAAAAATATAGGTGGTCAAGATGTTGATAGTAAGAGAGTCTGTGGGATATAAAGGGGCCAGGGAATAAACTACTTCTCTCTCACTTCCACTCTATTTTGCTAAGAAGTTAAAATTGCCCTAAAACATATAGCCTATTTTTTTAAATCACAAATTACTTTTATAATTATTTTTATATTGTGCCTATTATGTTTATGTTTATTGGTACACTTGCTTTATATATTGATTACATTCGTCATGGAGAGTTGGTACATGTATATAACACATCTGAATTCTTTTCACTTCTCTTCGCCCTTCTCACCTTCCCTTCTCTCTCCATCTCTAGATCCCATTCCCATTTGCAAAAAAAAAAAACTATCTCCCTGTTTCCTACTATCCATTCTTTATTTTGCTCCTTAGATTTTTTTGTTTTGTTTTTTGTTTTTCTCCGGTACTGAGAATCAAACTCACAACCTTGCACTTGCCAGCCAGGTGCTTTGCCGCTGAGCTAAATCCCCAGCCCTCCTTAGATTATTTATACTTTGGGTTTCTCATGTAAGAGAAACCACATGATATTTGTGCTTGTTTGTCTGATTTATTTCACTTGACATTATGGCCCCAGGTGCATCTGCTAGAAGATAAAATAAGTAAAACTCTTGAAGATATAGTCATATGACTTGCTGAATAGCAACTGCACAAGAAATAACACCAAGAATCAACAAATGGGATCATATCAAATTAAAAAGCTTCTGCACAATGAACAACCGAATGAAGACAATCTATAGGATGTGAACAAAATTTTTGCCAGCTACTCCTTGGACAGAGAACTAATACATAGAATATATAAAGAACTTTTAAAAATTAGACCCCTAAAATAAAAGACCCAATGAAAACATGGGCAACTGAAAGGAACAGACCCTTCTCAGAAGAAGTACAAAGGGCAAATACATGAAAAAATGTTGAACATCATTGGCCATTAAAGAAACGCATACTCCAGAAAAGAATGACTATTACCTAGAAATCAGATAATAACAAATACTGGCAGGGCTTTGGGAGAAAAGAAACCCTTCTCCATTATTGGTGAGAATATAAACTAGTATGCTATGGAAATCAGAATAGAGATTCCTCAAAAAACTAAAAATAAAATTCCTCTTCTCCGAGGCTGGGGATTCAGCTCAGCAGCACAGCGCCTGCCTGGCAAGTGCAAGGTCATGAGTTCGATTCCTGGTACCAGAAAAGAAAAAAGAAAACTTCCCCTTCTAGGTATTTCCCTGAAAGAATAAAGACATCATATTACAGTGATATGTGCATACCCACGTTTATAATAATAGCACAGTGCATAATGGCTAAATCTTGGAAGTGGCCAACATATCCACCAAAAGATGAATGAATACAGAAAATGTAATATATACACATAACAGAGTACTACTCAGACATAAAGAAGGATAAATTTGAGTCATTTGTACTTTATAATTAGAAAAAATAATTGTAGCTTAATTTTTATGTTCTAAGAACAAGTATATAAACAATAGAGACTTGAAACATAAAGATTTTATTTGTTACACAATGACTCAGGCTAAAACCCATTTCTTTAAAAAATGCTTCTCCAAGAAACTGGACTTAGTTTTTATTTTTGGACTATTTCCCAGAGTAGGGGGCATAATTCATTTGGACAGCAGGGGCAGGTTTAAACGAGCCTGTACTCTTCCTTCCCTTTTGATAAACTCTCGAAAATTCTAAAATGAGAATATCCATAAGAATTGCATTAAATGACATTACAGTACTATCTGGAGCTCCTTTACAGTACTTTGTGTAATTTGCCGGATGTACCCTATGAGCTGAATTGTCTAGGCAGTTCTCTGTCCTGGGAAGTGACTGTCAACTTCTAGGCCATCTGGGACAAGTAAGCAGATTGGGATAGGGGACTTCCCTCTCCCAGGCGTCCACATCTGAACGTCACCCCTGACCCACAGTGAAGTTGAGGTCAGGGCAAAGAGTGCCAGGTCGTGCTGGCCCCAGATGGCCGGGACTGGCATAGGGCTGCCTTCCCAGACGTAGGGACAAAGAGACATTAAAAAGAAGGGGCTTAATTTCCCCCCAAAGGAAAGACAGGAAGATTTCAGTCCCCTCTCTCCTGTCACACATTTACCTTAGAAAGCTTGTAAGTACCTTCTCTGCCTCTTTGAAATATATCCATTTTTTAGAGACTAAATAAGCCTTCTACCAATTATATGATACGAGACCATCTTTCTCAAGGACCTGAGTGCCATCTCCCTGAAATGTAAATGTAAACAGTCCCTTACTGCCAGGAGGAGGCCAGGAGCCTAACTTCAGGGGGCCTCTGCTCCGTGCTGTCAAATTACCTCTTGTCACAGAAACAGGAGTTTGATTGTTGTTTTTCCCCCTGGATAAAGTAAGTCAGCTAACATAAATGGTTATGCAAGTCCCAGGTGAGTGGAGCACGAACTCTGTGTGACCAATGGCGCTACCTGGTCCTCTTACTTCAGTACCAGCTACTGTTTATCTCGAAAACATGTACATAATGGGGAAATCCACTGGCTACCTGAAAGTCTGAGGTTTCTTTCTGCCTTTGCAATCACTGAGCAGAAAGCCTGAGATGTACATCATTTTATGGCTAATGCCTATTCAATAATAAAGGTGTTTTATTTACCTGCTACCTTTATAGAGAGATTTGCTGAGATGGAAGATTTTCAAAAGCGTTTTTTAGGGGGAGGGGTTGAAATTACATTTCCCAGCACAGATCAAGGTACACAGGATCGCTGGAATGCCAGCCCCTGTGCACCATCCACAGAGCCTCCCGGAGCACAGAGAAGTGCAACCTGACTGCTCTCAGAGCAAGTGAGCGATTACCCGGAACTCCCCGATGAGGGCGTCTGTCCTGAGGGAACGGGAGTCCACCACCTGCAGAATAAGATCATTGAAAACTCATTTCACCAGTGAAACACGCCCAGCAGGGTCCAATCCAACAGCTCTTCCATCCCAAATAAGAACAGCCAACAAGAGATACTTACTCTATTCCAGAGACTGTTCTAAGCAATGTTTCATGCTCAGAGGAAAGGACAGAGGCACACCGAGATAACAGGACATGTAGAGAATCACACACCCACACACGGCAGAGGCAGGAATGGAGTCCAGACAGCCTCGCACTCACACTTTTCACCACTTAAACCACATCGTGCTCTGGGCGCTGATGGGAGAAAGCTGAGGCCCAGAGACAGAAAACCTTGACCAAAAGTAGACACTACATGAAGGGGTTAAGGACCCCACCTGAGGTACTCGGGGACACTGAGTAGCTGAGGGGCTTCCACCTTCGGCTACGCTGCTATAGCATGTCTGTAGCCAGCAGAACTGGACAGGGAGTTGTCTGCATAATCTAGGTGCCAGACCTTAACATAGCTCCCTATCACACACACACACACACACACACACACACACACGTGTGTGTGTACACATATCCCGTGGAGAACACTTGGTTGCTGAGACATACCGTGATAAAAATGGGCTCATCAAACAGCTCTGAAGGAGAGTCGAACAGGTTGAAGAAAAGAGTCTGTTGGTCCAGAAAGAAAGGGAGACGAGTCAGTGCCTGTGGCCCCCCGGGCCAGGCAGTGGGGTAATCACTACCCACAGTCCGTCAGGCCTGGAGGTCGAGTTCGCACAGAAAATAGTGAGCTCAGCTCAGTGCCGAGCTCTGGGGATTTGACACAGCCTGGGCTGCTCCACCCTGAGCTCACAGAGGTTGTCATCGCAGGCACAGCCCTATGGGATGACGAGGATGCAGCAGGAGACTGGCGCGCACACCTCCCAAGCCAAAGTCAGCTCCAAATGCAAACGCTCCAAATGACCAGGCCCCCAGCCCGGAAGGCCTTCCGAGGTTCTGGCCCTAACATTCAGGGTCTCCCACCTCGTTAAAGAGAGGACTGTTTCCCTTGTGGATCCGAGTCCGCTTGGTCTGTCCAGCAGCTGTGACCTTGACTACAGGCTTGATGTTCACCCCCGGCAGCTGGCGCCCCTCGATCACCTGGACTCGGATCTGAAAGCCAGAAGTAGGAAGAATGGAAAAGAGGCTGGGTAGCAGGAACGAGGGACCACCCAGCATCCCACCCAGGAGTCAGAAATCTCAGGGACCATCTCGCTGCTGGCTTTGGGGACAACAATTTAAAAAGCACTAGAAAGGTTATTATAAGAACGTATTTTACTACCTGGGTCCCTTGTACCTATAAAACTCCACAGTGCCACAGAAAAGCTGTCAGGCTACCCTGAGGAAGCCACCTGCATTAAACTCCAGGGGTGTGTGGATCCAGCGCCCGCAGCTCTGCACACTTCATTCAGCACAAGCCCCATCTGAGACGGGACGACACTGACATTTTAAAGAGGCTTGAAAATTCTTCACTGACATTCCCTCAGAGGTCAAATTTACACAGTGAAGTATCCCATAAATACTACTCTTTCTTTTCAGTGCTGGGGATCAAAATCCAGGTCCTCACGCAGGCTAAACCAGGCAAGGGCTCGCCCTGAACCGTATCTCCAGCCCCTATTCCTTATATTATTAGATGCAGTGTTTTCTTACGTTCTGAGATGTAAAGTAAGAATTTTCACCAGTGAACTTTAAAGTAAATAAAAATGTCAAGAACATTTGTGCTTCTAAGCATTAGGTCAAATAACTGAGAATCTGGAATTTAAAAACATTAAAATAATCTTCACGGAAAAAAAAGATGTTTACTGGTTCTACTTTCTAGTGAACTATATTTGTTGACCAATTTCTTATTTAAAAAAAAATAGCATGCTATGAGTGTAAGCATTATGTACTGAAAACGTAATAATTACAAATTTTTAAACTGGACATGGTGGTGCACACCCATAATCCCAGCACTCAAGAGGCTGAAGCACAAGGATCATGCGTTCTAGGCCAGCCTGGGCTATAGCAAGACCTTTTCTCAAAAAAAAAAGAAAAAAAATTACACTGTGGAACATTATATTATTAATAACAATAGGAGGCTGAGTGAGGGTGTGTGTCTTCCAGTACTGGAGTTTGGACCCACGGGCTTCACACTAACCTACAGCCTTTTTTTGTTTTTATTTTAAGATAAGGTCTTGGTAACTCACTACGTTGTAGGGGCAGGGCTCACACTTGCAGTCTTTCTGCCTCAGCCTCCCAGAATGCTGGGGTGACAGGGGTGCACCGCCATGCCCAATGGGTGGGCAATTTTTATTCTCTTCACATTGTTGTGTTTTCCAGTTTTTCTACAATAAACCATATATTGCTTTTTTAAAGAGAAAAATGCAATAAAACCATGTCCTGGGAATAATATTATGGGAGCTAGAAATCTGTCTCTGAGGTAAACATAACGCTTATAACTGAAACCTTCGCTTAACTTGCCATGATTTAAAACTGAAATATAGTTTTATGATTTGTTGCACTTAATAAATAGATTGAAGTTTCCTGTCTTTAACTTTTTTTTTTTTTTTCTCCGGTACCGGGAACCAAACTCACGACCTTGCGCTTGCCAGGCAGGCGCTTTGCCGCTGAGCTAAATCCCCAGCCCCCTCCTGTCTTTAACTTTAAAGGTAGTTCTGAAGAGTTCAGTATCACTAAGTGCAATTACATCAAAATGGAAGCATCTGTAGAATAACCAAAAGATCAAAATTAAAACGTAAGAAAAATGGGGTGGATTTTGGATAAAAATGTGTCAAGAGGTTAGTATTAATAGTTACATTCTGTGAAGAGCTTGAACAAATTCAGGTCCTACATCGCTCTAGAGAAACGCATGGTTATAAGCAGGGGTGTAGATACAAGAGGAGAAACATGCTAAGCAGACCCCAAGATTGATTTAGGGGGCTTGTTACAATGCAGATCCCCTTCCACAGGTCTGTGGTGGGCCAGAGATTCTGCATTACTAAGGAGAACCTGGTGACCTGGTGACACTGCCTCGGACACAGACCCCACGGTAAACAGCAGAGAACAGTAATAATATGGACACTGGGAGCACAGGGTAAGAGATGCAGAGATACTTTCGATCTGCAGGGACTTTTTCTTTTTAAGAGCAAAACATTGGGATTGAGCAGAGGCTTCTTCTGAGACCAAGTCACAAAGTCCCCATTCAGAAGCTGTTCAGAACCCAGAGAAAGGACGGGTTTCCACTAGGCCGGCCCTAGGGATGCAGGCACATTTTCCCTAAGGTTGAACAAAAAGACCAGGTGCCTGGCTCTAGCAGCTACGGATGGGCTAACGGAGGAGGCTGTGCTCGGTCACCTGGAAGTCCTGCGGCTTGTCCGACAGCAGCTTTCGGGGTGGGGGTGTGCTTCTCTTTCTTTTGCTCCCAGGGTGGTAGGGAGGAGGATGGGAAGGTGGCTTCCTGGGGGTGGTGGGAGCCCCCGGGCCAGGCACACCAGTGGGATCCAGGAACGGCTCTGCCTCATCTCCTGTGAGCCCCTGGTCCTCGGTGTCTTCTTCTCCTCCTGTGTCTGCGAGGACAGGGCCCCAGTGAGGATCGAGTCCCTCTAACCCTGCCCTTGGGGCCCAGCGCGGCAGAGGGAGGACCCAAGGAGCATGCGCACCAGGACCCAGCCCCCCAGCCCCCTTCTCCCTTCCCTATCGTGAGCCATGATGGATGAGCCAGAAAGAGCAGCCTCCGGCAGCTGAAGTGTGAAGCCAGTCAGTCCAGTTAGTCCACAGGAGGAAGAGAGAATGGCCCTGACCTCCCCAGCCCCGGCCCTGCAGGATGAGCCCTCTGGGCCACCTCGTCCCACGCCAGTGGGCCGACAGTGGTGGTGGGTGAGACGGTTACAGGTGGTAAGGTCTGGGACGGGGCGGCCTGGCCCGTGTCTCACCAGTGGGGGCCAGCCACTTCTTTCCAGAGTATCTCGTGTCCACGGTGCTGTCACTGAGCAGCGACCAAGTCTCTGCCCGGCTCTGTCCCCCACCTGGTGTATGGGCAGGGCACAGTCCCCGGGGGAGGGGCGGGAGGGACCTGGGGTGAGGGAAGCCCACCTGCTGCACCCCCAACCCCAACCCCAACCCCGTTTCCCCCGCCTGGAACAGAGCTCAGAAAGAGCTGCAGCGTCTGTAGGGACTGACTCTCCTCCCACCTTTCTGCAGGGCTGGGAGGTGGCCCTGGCTGTTCTGTCACTCCGCCTTAGTGTGGGCCCAGAGCACTGGGGGCCTTCCACCACCAGGAACGGCCCCACCTTCTTCCCCAGCTCCAGTCCAGCCGGGGGCGCTCCAGGTGACCCCGTCCAGACTGAGCTCCCGCCTCTAAACTCAGACACGACTGAACCCTAACAAGACGGCTGCTTTGCCTCTTTCCTCAGGGCCACACCAAGCGGGCCTCCGAGGCTGGCACAGGGCACACCGTAGGGCTGCTCGGGGTTCTCAGATTGTGTTGTTTCTAGCCCCCTCCTGGTGGGAGAAACTCTAGAATCTCGCCCATGGGCAAATGCTCATTGGCCCATGCACCCCAGCTAGATCCCACAGAGGCTATGCCAGGCCATCCCTGGCACCCGCTCCCCCTCCCCAGCCTGGGTCCTCGGCTGACAGGCCCCGCGGGGGAGAGCTGACGCAGGCACAAGACTTGACTAACTCAGTCTGCTCATTTCACACATGATAATCTGTAGGCCCAGAGGGGAGAATGAGGAGCCCAAAATCACACAGCTACTTAGTGTCCAGGGCAAGCCTGTCCTCTGATTTAGCCCAGAGCTCTTTCAGTAAGCTCTTTCTGTCGCATCACTAAAAGCCTGTGGGGTGCCAGGGCAAGGAACATGAGGCTCTGGGACAAATGCCATCCTGCCACACCCCTCTTGGGGCTGTGCAGTACAGGGGGCTTGGCTGGGGACAGGGGCTGGGAGCAGCCCTCACAGGATACCCCAACACCACCAGCCAAACCAGGGCACCCCTAGCCCGGAGAAGGCAGTGAAGGCTGGGAGCAGGCCTCACGCAGTCCCAGCCCCAGCCCCAGCTCAGGGAACATGCCAGCCTTGCTGCGGGTCCTGCCACGCTGAGGGTGGGCCTCTCACCAGCCACGACGTCCAGTTCAGGCAGTGTCGGGGAGGGCTCCAGAGAAGCGGGGGAGGGGAACATGGGCACGGCTCCGGGAAGCGGCGTGTAGGACACCTGCAGGACAAGCGAGGCCTGGAAGAGATGGCGTGGGCATCAGGTTAGTGCGCTGGCCCCAGACCACTGCTCCTCAGCACCCCTCCTGTTTCCCTCATCTCTCCTCACAGAACACGGTTCTGACAAAGGTCCAGAGACCCATGTGCATAGTCCAATGGCTAAGTACAGAATCTGCGGTCAGTTTCCACCATCCAGGAGCTAAGTGACCTTTGGTGAGATCTGTGACCTCCATATGCCTCAGTTTCTTTATCTGTAAAAGGGGTTGTAATTGCAATAGTACCATCTCCCTAGGGCCAAGGGAGGATTAAATGGCAATCAGAGACCCAACCTCTCCTGCAGGATTTCTGAAGTCTCAGGAACGCATCTCCTCAGCCACTTTGCTTTGCTGAGGACCTGCCCTCCTTCTCCGCGGCCAGCTCAGCTTTGCTCAGCTCTGCTTGGGCCCAGCCAGCTCTGAGAGGGGCTCAGGTGCCCATCACTTGGCTGCGCCTCTGCTCCCTAGAAGCACCCCTGGCCCACCACATTCTCAGCCAGGAGGACAGTGATGAGTGGTGTGACTCACAGGGATGGGAAGCTGCCTAGGCTCCCACCTGAACAGGACACCTGCACTGCTCACAGGGACCTCGGCAAGCCTCCAGCCTCAAGCCCCAGGCCTGCAGGGGCCTGGCAGAGCCTCTCCTGGTGCCACAAGCCTGGCAAGCTTCCAGACAACCTTGGGTCTTAATCCAAGTAACACTCTATTTAAGAAAAGCTGGATAGCCGGACATGGTGGCACATGCCTGTAATCCCAGCACTCGGGAAGCTGAGGCAGGAGGATTGTTGCAAGTTCGAGACCAGCCTGGGCTATAAAGTAGGCTCAAGGCCAGCCTGAACTACATAGCGAGACCCTGTCTCAAAAAGATGAAAAAAAAAAAAAGAAAAGCTGGATATAGCACACACCATAATCTCGACACTCTGGAAGACTGAGGCAGGAGGATCAATAATTCAAGCCCTGCCTGGGAAACTTAGTGAGTTAAGGAGATCCTGGGTTCAGTTCCCAGTACTGCAAAAAAAAGGGGGTGGAGGAAATGAAGAAAGAAGAAAAGAAAGTTTTGGAAGCATGAAAACCTTACAGAAACATAATTCAAAGGAAAAAAAAATTTGTCCCTAACAATTTACCCCTCCAGCTCTTCACATACGATATAATTCTTCCGATATTTTAAAATAAATCATGATAGCTCTACTGTATAAAAATGCTTTTCTTCTCCTTAGAAACTAAGCATTGCTCCAGGATTGAGAAAAACTTTTGCAAATGTTTACTGCATAACTCTGTGGCTGTAGCACAGAGCGCTGAACATCCCTCCGGAGTAATATTCGGGATGTCCAGGGACTCTTGGGACAAACCCTGCCCTGAAGCCGAAGAGGCTGAAGGACCCTCAGCCTCTGCACCGTGTAGACCAAGTTCTGGGGAGGAACAGCCAGGCTGGTGGAGGGCCGGACCTGAGGGAGAAGGGGCTCAGCACGGCCATAGCTGGCCCTGCAGGTTCATGAACCACCACCAGGGGTCGCCAAGTGAGCATCCAGCTCCCGCGCCTCAGTTCCTGCAGCCCTTGGAACGGAAAGGATCTCGCCTGGATCCACGCTCGGCCCCTAGAGAGGCCGCTTCAGAGGGCCTGAGTGGGCCTGGGCACCTGTGTTTAACAACTCTCCTAGGGGTGAGACTTCCCTCCACTTCATCAAAAAGCTAGTGATCTTTTTGCAAAAACGACCAATTTCAGTGTTAGGTGAGGGAAGGTCCAAAATGAGCCTGAACCATCTTTTTCTTCTACAACACAAGGACATGCATAGTGACAAAAATATGTTAAAAGGACACAGAACTCAGTTTTCAGGAGCTTCCGAGGGCCAAATCCGGATCAATTTAAACATGAAAGAGGGGCTGGGGATTTAGCTCAGCAGCACAGTGCCTGCCTGGCAAGCACGAGGTCATGAGTTCGATTCCCAGTACCCGGAAGAAAAAAAAAAAAAAAAAAAAAAAAAACAATAAACATGAAAAAGACGGGTGTGGTGGTGCACGCCTGTAATCCCAGCACTTGGGAGGCTGAGGCAGGAGAATCCTTTCGAGTTTGAGACCAGCCTGGACTACAAAGTGAGCTCAAGGCCAGTCTGAATTGCACAGCAAGACCCTGTCTCAAAAAAAGACCAAAAAAAATGAAAATCAATAATGATAATAACAGATTAAACCACTGAATAAAATAGAAATACATGAATCCATAATGAAATAAATATGAGGAGAAAGCTTTCCCTTACAGTGGAATGCCAACTGATTAATGAAGGAGAATAACTGATTTAGAATAGCGCCACTTAGTAACTATCCAAACACGATAATTCAGCCAACAAACAACAATGAACCCCAGGAGCACAAAAAAAAAAAAAAAATTTTTAAAGCAAAACAAAAACAAAACCCTAAGGGTAAAAAGGAGTTATGATTGCAACAGCACCTTCCTTATACAGCCAAGAAACAGGGTACTTAGAATGGCACAAAGTGCTTCCCCACAAAATTTTTCTTATTAGAAAGTGGGGTAGATGGGCGATTTGTGAGAAATACAGCAAATGCTGGCTTCACCACATGATCGAGGGTGACAGGCAGTGAGGAAGTAAAGTCACACCCCTTGCTAAGGTGCGATGGAAGCAACACAGCATCATTTCTGTTCACACAAAGATGCACGACTTCAACCCGTGCACAAGGCAACATCAGGCAAACCCAAACCAAAGGGCATTCAGTGAAATAACTGGCCCACAGACCTCTAAAACGTCAAGACTATTAGGTCTGGGGCTGGGGATTTAGCTCAGCGGCATAGTGCTTGCCTGGCAAGCGCAAGGTCGTGAGTTCGATTCCCAGTACCAGAAAAAAGCCAAAAAAAAAAAAAAAAAAGACTATTAAGTCATAAAAGTCAAAGGCCTGAGGAATTGTCTAAGATGGAAGAACACTAAAGAGACAGAACAACTAAACCCAACGTAGGATCTCTGATTAGATCTTTTTGCTATGAATCACGCTGTCCAAAAAAAAAGAAAAAAAAGATAAGCCAGGCATGGTGGTACACGCCTGTCATCCCAACTATGCGGAAGGCCGAGGCAGGAAGATTGCAAGTTCAAGGTCAGTCTGGACAATTTCACAAGACCCTACTTCAAAATAAGAAAATGAAAAAGGGGTAGGGGGGGAGCTCAACATTCTCTGGGTTCAATCCCTAGAATGACAAAAAGAAAAGAACCGATAAGCCTCAAAAGGGGATCTGTGAATTAGGGGAAGTGATATATCAGTGCTGTCTTCCTCATTTTGAAGGTTGTCCCATGGCTGTGTGGAAGAAAATCCTTAATTAGAGAGAGAAATATACACTAAAGTTCAGAATGATGAGCAGCAGGTTGGCACCTTAGTCTCAGATGATTTAAAACAGAATATTCTTAGAATAATCCTTTATAATTTTTCTCTAAATCTCAAATTATTTCAAAATAAAGGTTTCAAGGCCAGGTGTGGTAAAGCACGCCTGTAATCCCAGCACTCAGGAGGCTGAGGCAGGAGAAGCATTCATTGCGAGTTCAAGACCAGCCCGGGCTACAAAGTGAGCTCAAGGCCAGCCTGAACTGCACAGCGAGACCCTGTCTCAAAAAGACCCGAAAAAAGCTTTCAAAAGTCTGAGAAATCTGCTTCTGCCTTAACCACAGGAACCTCACTCAGCAAGACAAATAAAACCTTACCTACTCCCACGCCCTCAAGGAGTAGTCCAAGTCAGGAGCAGCACATCTTTTGCAAGTATAGTGCAAAATGAAAATAAGAACCTTCTTATTCAAAAATTACTGAGAATTTCACGATGGCAATGGGAGAGAACTCAACCCAGCCCAGGTTCTTCTGAGCATGCAACGCCCGAGGCCAGGCTTGGTGCGTGTTTCTCAGCTGAGCCCAGCTTAGGTCTACATCTGAAGGACAGAGCCTGGAGGCCCTGCCTGACCTGTCTGGACCAACCCAGCCCTTCACGAATTCACTTACTCATTCTCTTTGCAAACCCCCAGATAAAGAATCTGCTGGGGGCCAAACACTGTTCAAGCTACTGGGTACTCCCACCAACAAAGCAAAGGCCCATGGAACTGATGTCTCAACAGAGACAGGCAATAAACCCTGAGCGCATAAGTCATAGAGCATGTTAGAAAGCCAAGAAAACGTATCAGGGGAAAAGGGTCAGGAGAGCAGAGGTGGTAAAGCCTGAGACAATGTGAATTAGGCAAAAATTTGAGAGGGACACATCCTGGCTGCCCTTGGAACCGTGACACCGGGAGCAGATTCCCCAGGAGAGCAGCCCTTCAGGTCTCCCCGGGCTTGCCCCACCCACCCTCCCTCAGCACCACCTCTACAGAGCGGGTTTTTGGGAATGTCACCACTCCGCCCATGGCCTGGGGCTCAGGAGCAGCCCTCTGCCAGAAGCAGAAAGGAGCGGCAGCCCTAGAATCTGCAGACCCGCCAGGTAGCCCTTGCTGTTTCCTAGGCACCAGATATTCCACACTGACAGCTGCCCTTCAACCCCTGAAGAAATGGTGACATGCTGGGACTCCAAGAATCTGAATGAGTCTTCTAGCCCAAATCAAGGTCCATCTTCTCTAAGGTCCAGCAAGAATCCAAAGGGATAGCCAGGCATGGTGGTGCACACCTGTAATCCCAGCACTCAGCAAGCTGAGGCAGGAGGGTTGCCACAAGTTTGAGGCCAGCCTAAACTATACAGTTAGTTCAGGGGCAGCTTGAACTATACAGAGAGACCCTGTCTCAAAAAAACAAAACAGAAAATGAAAAAAAGAATCCACGGGGACTTTTAAAGGACCTGGAACCCAGGATCTAGAACCGATCTTGCCAGCAGGAGTCAGCCTCTGGGGACCACACTTTAGCAACAAGGCTATTTAATCCTGGAGGCCTCTAGCTTTACTAGGATCTAAAGGGGAAGAGGGCATGTCTGGTGCCCATCCAGGGCCAAGACCCTTCCTCACATAGTATTAAACTCATCTCTTGTGCCCTTCACTGGACAAGCAGAGCTGAGATTTTCTTCATGTGAGATACAAGCCCTATGGTCTCCCAGATCACATGACCTTGGCCCAGAGTCTCCTGTGGGACACTCTTCAGGGCCCTCCACATGAAGGTACCCCACCAGCAACCCAGTTCCTCGGGTCTGCAGACAACATTTGAGGATTTGAGGCCATTGCCAGTCAATCATGTGTCCACCAAAACACAATTCCTGGGAGCAGGGCTAACGGCAGTCACCCAAGTCCACAGCCAATAATATCAGCAGAATGCAGGAGGTTTCTGAATGGCCCCCAGGCTAAGAGGGTTTAGGAAAACAAAGGCAGAAACAGGAAGCCACCTGCCAGCTCCTCCCAGGCCCTTGGCCGCCCGCAGGTTATGTGGCCAGGCCCAGGTTACGTGTTCCTCCTTACTACCTGCTGCTTACCTCCTGGGCCACAGCTTTCCAATGTGGAATTCTTCAAACCAGATCTTAGACCGGCCCAGGCCCACCTCCCCACACACACCTCGTGTGGTGTACAGGCAAGTCCTCTCTATGCCTTGGCCCACTCCACCTTTCCCTCAGAAAATATCCAGAGGCCACTGCAGAGTAAGGTCGGGCTCTGAACCAATAAGCATTGGTTACCAGAATCCTTGGACCACACCTGAAAGTCAGTGATTCACCAGACAGAGCACTGTCTGCCCTCTTCTTGTCCCTGTTCCCAACTCACCGTGCCCCTCACACCACCACCACCATCACCGCAGAGGTCATGTGCGCTTGTGACCCAGTGGGCTTCCTTTCCTGATGTGATGCTGTCTGTCAAGGCTAAAGTTTTCTTCATCATTTTTCCTTAACTTTACTGAACTGTTCTTAAAATGCATTTGTACCAGATAGCATAAAAAAGTACGGTACATGTTTAAATTTTTAAAATTCATTACAGTAATCACCCTCAAACTATTCCCACACGCTTCAAAAACCCTTAGCCCATCGTTCTTGCCACTTTCTGAAGGAGCTCTGGAAGTCCTCTTTCATAAGAGTCTCCCTTCAGTTGTGCTGTCATGGCTGTCTCAACATCCTGAATTTATTTAAAATGTTTACCTTTCAGGGTCGTTTTGACTTTGGGAAAGAACCAGAAGCTGCAAAGTGCCAAATTCAGTGAATAAGGTGGGTGAGGACACAACACAATGCTTTTACAAGCATGCGTTTCCACTGGATGGCACTCAGCAGTGGCATACTCTGCATTTTTTTTATCACAACTTGTACGATACAAAAGAGGACTTCCAAAACTGCTTCAGAAAGTGGCCAGAATGATAAGTATTTTGAAAGTAAGGGGGAGTATTTTGAGGGCAGTGAATGGCAGTGTGTCTTCTACTGTAATAACCTCTTTTAAATTTCAATCACACTGCATACGTTCTTTCCTACATGTGTGCCCAGCACCCCTCCTGGCCTGAGGTCCAGGAGGGGTCAGGGGTAGCATATTCTCCATCAATTCAAAAGCTGTCTGGGTAGCTTTGACCTCTAACCAGTAGCCCCAAATGCCATGCCTGGCGGACTTGGAGGAGAACACTAAGTAGCAGGTATGAAGAGCCCAAAGCTCAGCCTGCAGGACCTCCTAGTGTCTCCCTACCCTTCCTGCTCCTCTGTCCGTCCCAGGCCCTGTCTTCACTCCTACCCTTCCTCAGCGGGTTCCTCTGGTCCCTGGAGGCCATATGAGCTACCACTAAATGGAAGTGCCTAGAATGCTCTGCTCAACGGACCCAGCCCAGAAATAGGGCCCTGTAAGTAGCTAGTGAGTACCCTCAGCTTCTCTTGTCTTGCTGTCCCTTCTGAGCACAGCCCTAGGCCTTTGCTTCCCATTGGAGCACAAACAGCCTTCGTCCCAACAGAAAGCTCCAGCTGAGAGGCTCTTATGACCCATCTGGTGCTGCGCTCTGATGTCAGTACTGTCACAGGTATTAGATGCTGGCCTTGGGCCATCTGCATAGGTGAGGACCCTCTCAACTGGGAGGCTCACTGAACAGGATTTGGCCCTTCTTTCCCATCTGCCACCTCCTGGTTCTCATGCACCACTCCTGGAGACACAGGAAGGACTGTCAGTCTCTGCAGACAGCCAGGGAAGAGAAGGCAGCAGCTCCCAGCTGGTGAGTGTGAAACCCAGAGTGTAGGTGCAAGAGGGAACAAACTGATGCATAAGTGCCAACCTGGCTCAGCCCCATGAACAGGAGGGAGGTTCGGGAAGCTCAGGGCTGGGTGAGACTTTGAGCTTAGAGGGGAGCCTGTGCAGTGTCATGGCTTGTGTCTGGATGTCCCCCCAAAGCCTCATGCAGTCATGGGACAAGCTTCTAGAGTTTGTGATTGATCCATGGTCCAATGCTGGGATTATGGCTGTGAGTGCTACACCCGCCCTGGAGCAGGGAGCCTGTGTACAATGTAAGGGAGGGAAAGAGGCTTGCTCCACTCCCCTTTTTACTCTTGCTGCTTTTGCTATTTTCCTCCGTCATGAACTATTGTCCTCTGCCATAAACCGTTATCCTCTGCCATGAACTGTTGCCCTCTGACATGCACCACTCTGCCTTGGAGCCAGCCAAGTATGGACTGAAACCTCCACAAACTATGAGCTAAATAAACCTTTCGTTCCATAATTTTGGGCATCGGGTATTTTGTCTCAGCAACGAGAGAAAAATAACCAAGACAGGCAGGAAACACCAGTGTTATAGGCACTAGGACTGGAGTGGAAGGAGGTCAGTGTCTCAGCAGAAAAGAAACCATGTTGCAGCCTTTAAGATCCCAGCCTGAAGTGTGACAGAAAAGCACCAAGCAAGGCAGACTCCAGGAGCCTTTTCTCTGCAGCTGACTTGATGCCCATGATTCCTCCAGGGTGTTTTAGGAGCCTCTGATAGGAGCCCCTGAAGGGGAAATTTCAGGAGTCCTTAGAGTCCGCCTAACTACAGGCAGCTTGAAGGAAGGATGAGAGGGTGCTCAACTAGAATGTTCTACCAGTGAGCACCGTCTGGGGTAGGAAGGGATTCTTATGGGAAGTGACAATTCACTTTCAAGGAAATGACCCAGCCATCCATGTCCTAAGACTGCTTGGGGTCACATTCCAGCATCAGGAGGTCAGCAGACCAGGAGCCCATTTGAGTCCCTTCTATCCTGAGAATTTGGAGAAGCACTCCTGGGTCAAGTCCCCATTTGCAGTGGATAACTAGTCATAGTGACCCAAGATGCTCCCTTTCCTCAGGTCTTTGTGCCCAGTGTGGCTCCATTCCACGTGGCCCGGAGTGGCCTCTCAGTGACTCACGCAACCAGTCAAGGCCCCACCTCCTCTCACCCTTACCTCACAAACACACTCAACCTTTCTGAGAGCACTCAGGACTAGACCTTCCCAGGCCTTGCTGGGAGGAAGTATTTCCGGGTCAGTAGTTCCCCCAGTGCCTCCTGGGAGGTGGGGAAGAACCAGGGAGAAGGTCAGGAATTCTAGTGCCCAGTAAGAAAGAGCCTTGCAGGGTATATTTAGCTCACTAAAAATAACAGAAGGCCAGACATGAGAGCTGGGAATTGACTGCTTGGACTTGGGAAGGCTGGGAGAGGGGCAGGAAAGACAATGGAGGAAAAGGAAGAGGGTCTGACAGGTCCTAGTGGACAGAAGAGGGCGGTCTATCTCCCTCCCTTTGTAATCTGTGACCCTGATGACTCAGATGTTCCCATTCGAGAGAATGGGGCTGGGCAGTGAGGAAGGGAAGTCCTACAGAGAGACTGTGGAAGTGATAGCCAAGGCTGACTGAAAAATTGGGGCGATGAGGCAGCCAGGTGGTCAGGGCAAGACCAAGAGGCAGGCCATGATCTAATGAAGTACAGCTGACTTGAGCCCTGCAGTGGGCCACAACTTCCTACCCTTCTGGCCCACTACCCCTCCTGTACCCTGAGTTCTGGCCAGGGAGCATCAGGCTTAGCTTCTGGAAGCCAGACTTCGACATATCTTTAGGGTCAGAAAGTCCAGGCCAGGGTTGAGGGGCACCAGGCAAGGTCTCAGACCTGAAGCTGGCTGAATGCAGGGGGCAATGGGTACTTACCCCAGTGGGCTGCTGTTTGGTGTCCAGCAGAGGGGCATTGAAGCTGGCTGACAGACTGGGGGTAGCAAGGACCTCCCGGAGTGGGACCTTGGCTTCCCCCAGGAACCTGAGAGGATAGAGAAGTCAAATGTAGCAAACTAGCTTCATGTGCCCTGCTTCTTCTCCCACCAGAGCCCTTACCACCACCATGACAAAGACAAAGCTGAGCTGCAGAGACCACCAGGCACCTGGGGCCCTTCCAGATCTCCACCACCCCAGTCACCACCAGGCACCATCTTGGAAAGCCAGGCCCCTGGGAAACACCTGGACATAAAGAGGGCTGAAAGACACCTACTATTCCCTAAGGTCAACCTTGGCCTCTTTCTTCCCCACCTCTGAGGCCCTCCCTGACTCCTCAGCTGCAAGAGCTTGTGGCTGGAGTGTAAGTGTCCCCCAAAGCCTCATGTGGGGCTTTGTCAGAAGTAGCTGGATCTTGAGTGTGTGAGGCTGGAGTTGATTCATGGTGCGATGCTACACTCCAGGGTACTAGGATTGAGGGTATAAGCAGGCTACCCACCCTAAGTAGCCTGGATAAGATAAAAAAGGCAGAAAGACGCTGTTAAGGTCCTTTGCCTGACTGCTTTTGCTCTCCTCTGCTTGCCATGAACTTGTTCTCCTGATGCCCCTCTGCCAAGCTACCCTGCCTTGGAGCCAGCTGATTATGGACCAAAACCTCTACACAAACTGAGCTAAGTAAACCTCCCCTCCTTTTCCTTTGGGTGTTGGATATGTGGTCTCAGCAATGAGAAAAGTAACTAAGACAACTTGCACTGCTCCTGAGCCTCAGCAGTTCCTATAACCCACATCCACAGGCACTATCAGCAATGGCTTCCCAGGACTCAGCTGTAGTGATTATGAATGAAACACAGGACACTAGGGCTGGGGAGACAGCCCCCACCCCAAGGCCCAGGATGGTCAACAGCACTCACAGCTGAGGGCACACTTCTCACCAACGGGCTCTAGACAAAGAGTGGGGGAGTCTAGCACAATGGCCGCCACGGGGCCCTTCCAGGAATACTGAGGAGTAGGTTGGGTTCCCTGAGCTGAAGAGTGAGCACACCATGTACTCTGTGCCTCTGCGGTGACCGCAGGACACCCGTGGCAGCAAGGGGCCTGCACAGCTAGAGCTCATCAGGTGCTGTCAGCATCTGGCTCTGCTTGCTCCCCTGGGGACCAGGCCCATCCTGCACAGGACTCCAGGCCCTGAAGCCTCATAAGCCTGATCAACAGCCACAGGTATGCCTCATTGCTTGCTTCCCCACCCACCCAAGATGAACCAAACCTGGCATCTGGGATAATCCTTTCTCTGGTCTCTGTATCAACTGATTTGAATACAGGTTTTATGACCCTATGAAGTAAAACCACAATCTCAACCTAATTAGCTGACTTTGAAAACTTGCTACCCACAAGGAGATGCCACTTGATATCCATTAGGATGACTACTCTAAAGAGACAGAATAACAGGTACTGGCTAAGATACTGATAAACTGGAATCTTGTGCACTGCCAGTGGGAATGGGAAACAGGGCAGCTGCCATAGGAAACAGTATGGCAGATCCTTTAAAAAGTTACAGCCGAGTGGTGTGGTACATGCCCATAATCCCAGAACTCTGGGGGGCTGAGGCAGGAAGATTCCAAGTTTTATCCCTGCTTGGGCCATTTAGTTAGACCCTGTCTCCAAATTAAAAAAAAAAAAAAAATTAAAGGCTAAGGATATACCTCAGTGCATAAAGAAATTATATAGATAAATAGATATATCGAGAAGAATTGAAATCAGGTACTCAGATGTTTGCATACCAATGTTTGTAGCATTATTCACAATAGCGAAAGGTAGAAGCAACCCAGGTTGAATGGACAGATGGATAAACATTTTGTAATGCTGCATACAATGGAATAGTACTCGGTCTTTGAAAGGAAGGAAATTCTGACACATGCTACAATGGGGTTAACCTTGGAGACCTTAGGTTAGGTGAAATAAGCTAAACACAGAGAGATAAATATTGTATGATTCCACTCATATGAGGAACCTAGAGCTGTCACATTCATGTACACAGGAAGTAGAACGGTGTTCCTGAGGCATGGGGGAAAGGGCAATGAGGTGTTACTGTTTAACGGGTACAGATTTTCAGTTTAGAAGATGGGCCCAGCGTGATGGCACACTCCCGTAATCCCAACACTCAGGAAGCTGAGGCAGGAGGATCGCCATGAGTTCAAGGCCAGCCTGGGCTGCATAGTGAGTTCAAGGCCAACCTGAACCACATAGTGAGACCCTGTCCCAAAACAAATAAACAACAACAAAAAAAGATGAAAAAATTCTGGAGATGGATGGAATGATGCCTGCACAACATTAATGTAAGTCTCCAACCTGGCCCAGCCTGCTGGCCAGAAGAGGCACTGCTCTCTGCAGGGAACGCAGCTCAGCACTGAGGCTGTCATCCGCAAGCACAGAGAAGGAAGTAAGATAGGACAAGGAAGTTTGCAGCTCCTGGGGACATCTGGAGACACCCCCAAATTTACAAAGGACACTTCAAAGGACTCTGCCCAAGGCGATGCAAGCTTGCCAGAAAACTTTAACCACAGATGTTCACTGGGATCTTCCCTCCTAATGTCCGCTGCCCTCTCTCCATCACTATAAAAGGGACACACTTCTCTTTATTTGGGGCAGAAGGTCTTACGGTGCTCTCTGCCTGAACCGAGGCACAGTAGATTCCATGCCATGTTGCCTTTACCCAAGCCTGGTGGCCTCTGCTGCTCAATATGTTCAAATTAATGCCACTGAACTGTACATTTAATTAAATGCTAGATTTTGTTATGCATATTTTACTACATACACAAAAATTTAAAGGGGGCCACCTGTATAAGCTTCTCAACAATAAAATTCATGTATTTCTATACCTCTTGGTGTAGGCATAGTCTGAGTCCCTTGCAGTTTCCCTTGCTAGGAAGACAATAATATGACACGTGTTCAAGGTCAATTTCCCTCACATTTCTTTAAAAAGGGGAGGAGCTAAAGGGAGGGTCCTTACTAATGTTCATCCCAGGGTCCTAAGACTCCTCACAATAAGTCATATTTTCTAGGATGTGTTTTGTACTGTATTCCCCGGAAGCATGGAGTGGGCTTTGCACCATAAGTTACTCAGCAGAAGTCCTCGGAGTTTTTATCCTACAGACGAAGATGCTGACAAGCATCCTCAGGACCCCCAGGCAATGTCAAAAAGACCAGAGAGTAGGTATGGAGGACCATGAGTGCATGGTCCAGAAATTAGTCACCCTGGCCTTCATGGGTAAATGAAGGCAGCGGATCTGGGTGACTCATTCAAGCAGGTGGATGGAGCAGTCAGCCCTAGACCTCTCTCCAGATTCCCTGGGCAGTATCACAGCTCTGAGGCTTCTAACCTTGAGGCCAGGGAGGCCAGCGCCAGCAACAAGAGCAGGGGAGACAGGCACCAGGCCTGGTTGAGCAGATAGCTGTACATAGTGGCTGGAGCTCCAGCTTGGGAACCCAGGACAGAGGCCTAGAGCAAAGCCAGTGTCCTCGGCCTCCCTAGCTGGCAGCCCAGCACACCCAGCCCAGTCCCAAGAGAATTCCCGGAAGCAAGGCAGAGAACAATGGGAGGAAATGCAGAAGGAAGCACCCACCCCACCCCTGCCAGCCCAGGCACCTCCGGGCTGCCCCAGAGACCAGGTCAGAATTGACCGCTTGTTATTTCCTGTCTGAGACCTCATTCTGGGCCATGAAATACACCCTCCAACACCCACCCCTGCCAAGATCCTGTGGCCAGTCCCTCAGTGGTACCAAGTGACTGCAGCAGCCCCCAGTCCCCTAGGACAAAAGGCTTCAGTCTGCCTGTCCCAAAGCCCAATCAGGGAGACACAGAGTGTCCCACTAACAGGCATGGAGCAGCACTGCTCACAGACAGAGGCAGGGAGTGCACAGGAGGGGCTTTCTGGGGAGGAGGGAAGGGCTCAAGGCTTGGGCATAGAGTACTTGAAAACCACTGTTTGTCCATCCTATTTGATCTCACCAAATATAGAGAATAAAGCCCTCAGTGCCCTTACTCAGCTGATCTCAGACCAAAAGGGCCCTGACCTATTCTGTCTAGAGATGAAGACTGAGGCACAGACTTTGAGGCCAGGGCCTTCTGCACATCAGGGATGCCACATGTTCAGTGGGTACCAAGCAGAGGCCCAGCAGGCACCCAACTGCACTCAATGGGAGTTCAATGAGGCAAAGAAGGACCTAAAAGCAGCACAGAGTATGTGCAGAGCCCTGACAGTGAGGACCCCGTGGGCCCTGACCTCTCCTTCTGCAGCCTACTGGTAGAAAAATGCCGCTGGCCTTCCCAGCCTCCTCTGCGACCTGGGCATCTCTCTTGGCTCTGCTGCATTCTGGTGCCCCTGGAATGTGGGAGCAAGAAAAGTGTGGGGGCTGACAAAGCTGCTGCCATCCCAAAGAAAGTCAGGATCAGAGTTGAAGAGGGAGAGCAGCTTAGGATCCACAGGGCACACAATTTTCCCCCATGAAAAAAGAACCAGTTCCCAATTCCTCATCCAGTAGTGCTGCTGACCTTTCAGGACAGGGAGAAAAATAAGACAATGGCCTTCAAATCTCAGCATTAAACAGCATGTGGGAGGGCAGGAATTAAGGTGGCCAGGTAAATTTATTTAAAACACAGGGGCTTATTACATTGTTTGTATGAACAAATACAAGGAAAACCCCAAATGTTCATCACACAAGACATGTATAGCACATTGATACAACAGAGTATATAGCACACTGATACACCAATAAAAATAATAGGACAGTTCACCATGAACTTATATGGAAAATCTTCAAGACACATTGTTAGGTGAAAAAACAAACAACAAAAGTAATAATATGCTACGCACTGCATGAAAAACAAGGAAGTCAGAATCTCTATTGACGATTAATCATTAAGAACTTTGCAATGATTCATAAGAAACTAAGACCAGCAGGGATATAAATTAGTACAGCCACTATGGAGAACAGTACAGAGTTTCCTCACGAAACTAAACTCTATGATCTAAGTATTCCATTTCAAGGTAC